GGTGGGTGCAAACCACAAACCTTTAGGCCAGTTGAGTTTGAATTGTGCCACCAGCAGCCAAGACGGCACAGAATGACTGTATGCCTCTGAGCCCTAACAATATGAGACGGATTTAAATGACGCAGGCTCTGCTTTTGACTAAAGGGGTGGTGGAGGAAATGGTTGGTGAGCGACACAGAGGAGGAGCTGCCCGTCTCCTCAGAGGAGAGGACTCTGATCTGAGGCTTCAACAGGGAGGAGAGGGGACAGTGCTGCAGAGAGAGGAGCTATAGCAAAACCATGGAAACTCACAACACTGGAAATACCAGCGGTTTCTTCATATTTGAATTGCAAGTCTGGGACTGTTTAGCTTTTCAGTGGACTTAACATCTCGCTGTCTTAAATGTGCAACTGATGGCCGAGACTGAGCATTTAATTAATTTGCGTAGTACAGACGGTTTTCCTTCCAAGGGGCCCAGTACACGGCATAGAAGGGAAATGAAATAGGTAGGTGCTTTAAAAAACTACCACCTGTTGCTGTGACATAGCAACTAATAGACATAGTGACACCTGAACCACCTTCCAAATGGGTAAAATGGTTCAAGGTGGAGGTTAAGAATGGCATTTGTACAGGGAGCTCTGGTGGCCTAGTGGTAAGACACTGCACTGCAATCCCAGAGGTACATTGTTCAAATCTACCTGATTCTCTGCTGGAGAAGGAGGGGGCAATCTCCTCCTGTACCAGTCAGATCTGATTTGACGGTACACGTAAAAAATAATAAAATAAAAATAAAGAAAAAATATAATTTAAAAAAATAAGAATGGGATTTGTAAAAAAAAAAGGGGGGGAATTTGTGAAAAGAAAAAGAATTCATTTTAAAAAAGAATGGGATTTCTAAGCAAGCTAGTAACTGGTGGCACAAATGGTTATGGAGTGCCAATAGCAGTAAGTTTCCAGAGTCCATTTTGATCCATGATGTTCAGGGATTAGAGGTGACCAGCTTTCTTTTGGCCATTCATAACCTTTACCTTGACTTTATCGGGACTCTTCTCTTTAATCCTCCTCAAAGAATGCTTTAGAGACTAAAGCTAATGACTCTAGTAAGTCTAGAGAGAAGAATCCAGACAGATGTGAGGGCTGTAGTGATGCAGAAGATTGGGAAGGTGGCATTTAATTCACAGGGGCCTAAGACTACAAAGGCAGGCCATAGGGTCCTCCACAAGCTAGCCTTCCCACTGGCAGTGCAGGAATTCCCTGCTTGCACTCAAGTCCACCCTGTTCCGGTTCTGTTGATCCTCGAGGTGAGATGAGACACATTAGCTTCTTCAGGTGGGGTAGTTCATCACATTTTCGTTTTCATTTTCAAATATGTTTGACAGTGTTTCTCATCTGAACAAACGTTAACTACCTTTAGCTACAGATGTATGCAGACAGATTCTCTTAAAGGTGGGTAGGCAACTGACTTTAAAAGCACCTGCTGACTCAGAGTGCTCTGGAAGACTAGCGGGTAAGGACTTAGGCTGCTAAACCGAAGGCAGGTGATTTTAGTGCATCAGCCGTCCCATGCGAGAAAGATGGGCAATCTTCTCGTATGTGGTTCCGGCCTCTGCTGGAGGGTCAGCTATTAGTTTTGACTCGACATCACACAACAATTTAGGAAGCCTAAATAATGGAAACATAGTTTTAGATGGTTTCTGGTCAAGTTTTGAAACTCTTTCAAGGGTGTTATTATGGCCCATTTTTGTAAATAAAAGTTTTACTGGAACACAACTATGCTCATTTGTTTGCATATTTTTTATGTCCATTTTTGTGCTACAACTGCAGAGCTGAATCTGTGAGACAACATGGCATGGCAACATCATTTACTATATAGCCCTTTCTAGAAATAGTCTGCCAACTTCTGAGCTACTGTATCAAAGAATCTCAGGTTACAGAAAAACAAAAGGACTCCTAATTATTCTTACCAAGTAACACATCAGATATTGTGAGCAGCTTCCCTTTCATACTCTTTAAAACATCTTACATACACGCCCCCCCCCTTTCGAACCCACCAGCTGCTCTGAGAGAGAAAGACATGCAAACTCTTCGTCTGTGATTTACAGCCTCCAAAAACCTGCTGAGTGTCAGCTCTGAGTCTGTTCCAACTTGATGGCAAGGATTGAGTGGGAGTTCTGTTCCATTACCACATTCAGTCCACATCACTTATGTAAAGGGTTACAAATATTCCGATTTTATTATAAATAAAATACTGTTTTTTTTAAACATAAAAAAAACAATGCCAAGTGTTGCATTTTATTCACCACCCTAGAGAGCAAGACTATAAAGATTAAGGCAAACGGCTAAAGTGAAGGCACATCTAAAAAGGCCACGGTTGGAAATAAAAGGAAGAATTCCAGGGAAAAGTTGCAGTGTCTGCTCCCTGTGACACCCAGCATCCTGCAGCAGCCATCCTGTCTGCTTTATTACATAAAATACAGTTAACTGGAACTATACAATAAAATAATGGCTATCTTGCAGGAGTGTTATTAAGGTATTATCTTATAAAGAACTTTTATTTTAAAAATAAAATTCTGTTTACAAATATACCACACAAATGGAGGAGGAAAAAAAAAAAAACAAAACCCACACCAAAAAACAACCCAACCCCAAGGTGGTCCCAGACTTGCTGGAGTGGATATGACTCATGTGCTGGATGGAAAACTACTTTGGCAGTCTGTCTTCAGTCCTTTTCCTGCAATCTTCAAAATGTATATATTAGGATGTGGCCACTTCACAAGAGGAACTAGCCAGGAAATGCTAATGTGAAAACTTGGCCAGAAAAAGCCATGCCTTCTGTGGTAGTGTCAGAGGCCTGAGAAAAGTAACAGTTAAAGCGGAGCACTATGCCAAATCAGAACATTTTTGGTAAACTCTGGTAAGCCTTAAGGAAATGGGGAAGGCTACTCGTGAACTAACTAATGTGTCCTTCCCCGTCTACTCATCTGTAGCACTGTCCCTGATGCCTCTGCAAATGCTCAGCAATTAGGCATGCATGTCTAAAACACAACCAGTCAAGCTCAACTTTCTGGGACTCTCCAGAAAGAGCATTTCTAGCTCATTTCTGACAATAATGGTGTTCTTCTTTTGCAAATGTTTACGTTTGTCAGAATGACTTTCCTGCTGCTGTGCAGAAATCAAGAACAGTATTGTGCTAGAGTTGAAGACGACCAGAGCTACAGTGGAAGAGGATTTGAGGTACCTCCCCATGATGGCGACATGTGGAGGAAAGCAGGCTGATACTGTAGAATGGAGATGCTGCAAACACAAGGCAAAGGACAAAAGTAATGGGGAAAAAAATACAATCTAGAGAATTCTAGATGGGAGAGAAGGGATACAGGTATGTTGCACCAGTGAAGAGGAAAAAAAATGGAGCAAAGAAGTGAACAGACAGTGCCATTCTGGAAGTAGGACCAAGTATATTTACATAAATTCCTTACTCTATAATCATGATAAACAAACAAAAAAAAACCCAAAAACATTCACACAAAAATATAAATTTGAAATAATTAATAGCACCAGTGTGTCAGATAATAGTTTCTTTCCCCCGCTACGCAAAGTACAAAGTTGCATAGTGTTAAAGGCTATATATGATCTCAAAGGCAGATTTGTAGGAGGGAAGGGAAGGTGTGGCAGGGAGTTGTCATACTGTGATCTTAAAAATATCACAGAGCTGAGGAACAAAAGTTGAGAAGCCCACTAGGAAACGTCAACTAAAGAGTCTCCCCACTGCATGGAGAGAGAAGGGTTAGAGCGGGTTTAAATCCCAAGGTGCAGGAACTAGATGATGTTGGCAGCTGTGTGAAATACTGAGTACAAATGACATGCCACCAGGATTTGACAAACACCAATGTGTTTTGGTGGGATTCTTGAAGATGTGAACACCAAATGAGATGTGGTGCTAAGGATCAAAAGTGTCATCTCTCTGCCACAGAAGAAAAATGGGTATACGGGGCCTTGACAATGCAAGTTAACCTAAATCTCACCCCTTTGCAGGAAGATGCTAGGACAAGGCTCTTTGTGTTTTATTTGGTTTTGTCAACATCTTAGAGACCATCTGTTCTCTGCCGGATAACTTAACACTAGCTCCAAGACTAACATACTAAAAAGAGACCTAAGAATTAGTTTGATTTTTAAAAAGTCTTTAGTGGTTATCATATCCCCATTTCTTCTCTTTAGAGCCCACGGATAGGAATATAAAAAGATGTGGATTGGTCTGTTGGTTGAGTGTGAGCTGCCCATCCAGATTTAAGTTATCAGCTGCCCAAAGATTGAAAATAAGCTTATCTTCTTAGTCAGTTATTGACATCTGAGAGAATCTTCAGCCTACTTCTGCTGTCTCATGGTCTCCTAGAGAGTGTCATGAGTAATGTCATCCTTACCCATGGATGGCTCAGTGTCCTGTATTCAGAAGAGCTAAAACTGACCAAGGGCTTCTGACACTCTCACTAACAAATACCTTTGGCACAGGATGGTTATTTCCTTTTGCTTTAATAGGAGGAGAGGCAGACGTGTTTCTTTCTCTATCGACTGGATATACTGGCCAGCACAATGCTACTATCAGTAGCTAAGCTTTTCCTTCATAGAAACAAGAGTTCTGAGACTGTGGAGGTTCTGCTGGTGTCAACGAGAGAGAAGGGCTACTTGCCGTGCCCTGGCATACAAGGGCTCGCACGACGTGTCTAACCACTGTACAGTAACGGCGGGGGCCCATCCTTAGGCACTTCAGAAGAGGGAGTAAGAGAGGGATGTGGGTGGATGAGAGACTTTACTAGATTAAACCCTTTGTTCCCAATTGAAGATGTTCAAGTTGCTTCTCTTAAAACTTTGTGACTTTTCCTAGTTCAAAAAGATAGTGATGGGAGAGCTGCAGAGAGGGGGGGTTCTGGAAAAAAAAAATGTAATCTTTGTGTTAAGGCACTCTGTGGCCTTGCAACTGCTCCCCTGGCATGGGGTGCTGCCTTGCAGCTCTTGGAAGAAGACACTAGGGCTTCTCGATGGACGGGGTGTTGAAGCAGCCAGACGGTAAGGTCTTCTTGATGTCTTCCAGGTTGCGAATGTCCTTCATGATCTCCTCAATATCTCTGTTGTAGTCCATGATGGCAGCCTCCTGCTTCCTGGCTTCATTCTCCAAGTCAGACACTTTCCTGTCCAGATCACTGGCCTTCATTTCGTCTTTGGCTTTGTTTAGGGCGCCTTCAATCTCGTTTAGCTTGTTCAAGTCCACGGTGTCCAGTTGTGCTGTAGATTGGGAGATACACAGAAGAGAGTAGACATACTCAGTGAGAATGAGAGTGATATGCCACAAGAACCTCCACCGGTCTCTGTAGAAACTAAGGCTGTAGCGACACAAAGACAGCACTGTGCACACTAACTGCGGGCTGGTGAGGTCCTGCAAGAGCATAAATCAGTTACAAATGCTGGCTGAACATGAGAATGGAATAGAATGCATGATTAATACTGGGCTCGTTTGTTGTTGTTTTTTAAATAAATGCACAAGTATCATATTCTAGACTCTTAAGCTGCAATTTGAGGTACAGAAGGTCAACTGGTAACATTTAATACCATTTTCATATGTGCAGGGGGGGAAAAAAATCTGCCTATCATTTTAGGGCTGCCCAGAAGAACAGAGCAAATCCCGAAGAGAAGAGAGGTTGGTTTTGGAGGCCACTTCCAATTTTTAAGTACCAAGGCATTATGAGGAGCCCTTACATGGAAAAATGCTTCATTTTTCTACAGGCTGAAATGCTTAAATGATTTCAACACAGCTGGTGATGCAGTGGATTAGGTCGGCTGTTTGAGTTCACTGCCATTCCTTGGGAAAAAGCTTAGGCAGTGTGTGTCCCTCTAAGTTTACAGCCTTGGAATCCCTAAGGGGCAGTTCGACTTCATCCTGTAGCATCACTAGAGGGTTGCTATGAGTTCAAATTAAGAGAAAGCAGCCGGCTTTTGGATGCTGACTTTACAGTTCTCTCCTTATCTCATCACCATCGAGTGGGAACTGACTTGCAGCCCACCATCTTCCACTGGGTTTCCAAGGCTGTAAATTGCACAGGAAGAGACAGCCTATCTTTATCTACAGAAAAAGTTCTTTGCAAAGGACTCGCTTTCATGATAAATTAAAACAAGTGCACAGAGAGCATCACGTTCTTACATAATATGCCTGATTCCACTCTCACACCACCACTGTTTGTCAGCAAATCTCAGATGTTTGAACAACTAACAAAAGTGAGGATCCCAACCCCAGTCTGACTGACTTCAAGGTGCAGCTGTCTGCCAAAAACACCATCTCTTCTCATTCACCCTCACTTTATACTGCTCTGTTGGCACAAAACTTATTAACCTTTGAGATAGACAAAAAAAACATAATCCTCCACTTGTCTAAATAAAACAAAAACACACAAAATATTAACCATTTTTAAAGGCTAGCAAGTGGAAATAAAATGCTTTGCTACATAGCTACCCTGACTAAACTATTAACACTTAAAATAGAGCTCTGGTGGTCTGGTGGGTAAGGAGTTGTACTGCAAAACCAAAGGCAGGCAGTTTGATCCACCACTTGCACTATGGAAAAAAGATGGTAATTCTCCTCAAGTGTGATTTACAGCCTCTGAAAATTCACCGGAGGGTCAGCTATAACCTGGTTCCAACTTGAAGGCAATGAATGCGGAAGGGAGTGAGTGGCAAAAATACATCTATTCAAAAATGAAGTGGTAAAACTGGACTTCCAGATGGCTTCCATATACCTGCATTTCCTTGAAAATGCAGTTGTTTCCCTTCCATCATCATTATCACCTTTTAAGAAAAGAAAGAAAATTCCAGGAAATGAAATCATGATCAGTTCTTTTACTATATTACTGAAACTCTTCACTTTAAAATACCTTAAAGACATTCAGCCAAGCAGAATGAGCTTAAAATGAAAACAAAACAAACACAAAACCAAAAACACCAAAAAAATACAACTTAAAAAAAAAGTCACTGCTCAAATGCAGCATGAATTATGATCAAAAATTGAGCTACCCTTGCTGACAGCAGACCTTTAAAAAATAAAAAAGCAATAAAAAAGCCTTTGGATCTCAGAGTTCTGTAAGAACAGAGTCCATTGGGTATCTCTTAAGTGCTTGTGTGAATTAATACAACTTTAAGTCATTACTCAGTCCATATTCTTCTGTGGAGTTGGAAGTGACTCACCACTGATCCTGTACTGGGTCTCTGAGGCTGTAAATTGCATGGGAGGAGACTTCCCACGTTTCCCCCAAGAGCCACTGGTGGATTAGAACCTCCAGAGAAGCAAGGCCTTTGAATTAGCAGTGCAACTTCCTACCGTCCAAGCCACCAGAGCTCTCTCCATACTTTAACCGGGATGAATATACCAACTTTGAAACTATATTCTTAACAAAGGCTCCAGCCTTTGGAAGATGCATACTTATGCCATAAACCACTTTTAAATAAGAGTAAAATAGAAACAAAGTATTAATAATATAATGGATCACTTGAAGGGAATCAGATACACCTGCTATGTGCCTTTGAATCCACTACAGCCAACTCTGAAAACAGCAGACAGAGACAAACTTCCAAGTCTGTGGCTACCTACCCAGCCTTTCTAAGAGTTCATTGATCATGGTGAGGAGGCTGGTGGCTGAGCTCTTGGCCTTTCTGGCATTGATATCTGCTTCCTGAGCAGCCTGTGAAGCCTGCAGAAGAGAAAAGGACACATGATGTAAACAGTCAAGACTACATGTTTTCATCTTCTTTAAACAGTTCCCCCCCCCCCCGGAAGCCACAAATCTGATTTTCTAATGTTTTCTCTCAATTCATGAAATGACACTCTCACTGCATTCAAGGGAAGGGTACAACCATGTATCTTCATGTTGAACATGTTGTTATTTCTCAATCTCTTAGTAGTAACGAATCAATGCATCTCAACACTTATAATCTTCAGGTCAGAAGTGGCTCACTGGATCCATCAGCAGGCTTTCAGAGGCAGAAAATTGTATGGGAAAAGACTGCTCACCACTCTGCTGAGAAGGAACTAGTAGATTCAAACCCTGTGCCTTTGGGTTGGCAGCACAACGCCCTACCTGCTGGGTCAGCAGAGTTCCCCAATGAATGAATAGGCACTAAATAGGTCTATATTCACGAGGCACTGATGGTTTGGTGGTAAAATTATCACCTTCCATGCAGCAGACCTGAGTTTGATTCCTGGCTAATGTAGTTCATATGCAGCTACCACTCATCTTCCAGTGGAGGCTGCCATGCTGCTCTGAGGCTGAACAAATTCCAGGAATTTCCAAATCAACAAGGACTAAGAAGAGGGACTAGCAATGTACTTGTGAAAAATCTATGGATCACAATGATCCAAAGAACATCCCATCACGGAGAGGGCACAGGACTGGCGAGTGCCAAGTTCTTTAGTATATGACAATGCTTCAGTCAGGAAGTCCTTCAACGATGGTTAACAACAGTGCCAGAGATCAATACGATTTTCTCTCCTTACCCTCACACGCAAGCCAAATAAAGAAAGAAATCAATAATACCTAAGTGTACGGATAAAAGGCATCAAGCAATAGGAAACTGTTTTGCTGATGGTACGTGTATTTTAATGATTAATAGGTTGCCACACACTTTTAAATTGACGACTGTGCTTAGAAACACATTTTGCCATCTTTTGCGGCAGTGTGTTAAAGTCGTTTCAGAATCAGAGCATATCCTTCAGATCCTAACTAGAAAAAATTTTCACAATCAAATGAAATATTGTCCATTCTCCTGCTTTCTACTAACATGCACACCCATATGCATACGCACACACTCATTTACTGGGGCAATACAGTTTACTTTTTGAAAAGCAACAAAAGGTTAATATATTTGGGGAAATTCCATGAAACCTGAACAAATACACTGGGCATGAGTCATAGGAAACGGCAGTGGAAGAGGAAGTGTCTAAACATCAGAAAACAGATGCTCTCACAAATATAAATCTAGACAGAATGAAAATGAGAGGTTTTTAAGCTCCCAGTTACATAACTGTTCTTCCAAAATGCAAATTTGACTCAAAATAATGTGAATATTATGAAAGGAAAAAGAAAGTGAGGGGAAAATTTTTGACAAGTAAATGGCTGATCTCTGCATGTACCACAGCTGCTCTCACTGAGTTCCACAGGCTTTTCACACTGCCCAAGGAGAGAGAGCAGACTTTCATTAAAATCTCAGTTAAAAGAAAAAAAAAATTTTAAAAAAAGATCTTCAAAGAACAATGTGACTATGTTTAACCTGTGACTCGCACCTCCTTGTCCAGAACAACCCTCAAGACTTCACGCTTCTGCTTGGAGGTTAAAACCAAGTTACTGACGCCAACAATCCTAGTCTAATGCTGACCATTCAGGATTGCCATAAAGAGGAATGAGATAAGATAGGTGAAGGTGTTGTGTGTTCCTTAGCACGTATTTACCAAAACAAGAGAGACAGAGATTTTTATCTCCCTAACCAAACCCCTGCCCTTTCTGGTAGCTCATTAAGGACAGATCCAGCTTGTTTTTTCAACGAACTCCAACCGGCTGGGTTTTTTTTTTTTTTTTAATTTTTTTTAAACTTTATTATTTTGTGTGTGTACCATCAAATTGGATCCGAGACTGCCCCTCCTTCTCTAGCAGAGCACCTGGTGGATTTGAACCTCACATCTCTGGGATTACAGTACAGCTTCCTGCCACTAGGCCACAAGAGCTCCTTAAATTCCAATGGTTTTTTAACCACATTCTCCAAGAAAATTCATAAATCTTAAGTAGAAATGAGAAACATTTTTTAACCTATATGGGAATGTCCATATGAGTCATATCTTGCCTTAGAAAATTAAGAGAGTCCACATAAAAACTCAGAAAAGCATATACAAACATAAGGTGTTTGCACAGAAATGCTTCCTGTTATGACTTTCCTAGATTCTTTTTTTCTTTTTCCCTTTTTGAGTCCATAGGTGGAGCAAGAAACTTACATGTTTGGTTGCTAATTGAATGGTCAGAGGTTCGAGCCCACTGAGAGATAGATGTCTTAGAGAAAGGCTTTGAAATCTGCTTCCAAAAAGACCTAGCCACTGAAAACTCGCTGGGGCACAGTTCCAGTTTATCACACACGGGGTCACCCCAAGTCAGATTCAACTGACAGCAACTGAATAGGCATTATTTTAGAGTCTTCCTGATCTAGATTAACAAGCCAAATTTCTCATTTCCATCCCAAGGTGAAATGTCCCACAGTGAAGGGTGTCTTTTTGTAGCAGCTAAAACCAGAGGGGCCTTTCCTCGCACTAAAGATACTCATTTAAAACAAACTAAAACGCACCATTACTATGACTGACAACAATGAGTTAGCAAGTCACGTGAAGATTTCCTTAAAGTCTTTTACAAGCAAAATAAAGCATAAAACAGAAAAATGGATCCTAGCTCTGGGACTGCACAGTCACAAGCCAATTTTGTTATAAACAGTGTTATGTATCTATGTCACCACAAAAGGTGAAATACTAAACTGGATATAAGGACTGCACATTCTGGTCATGGTGGCAGTGGTGGTAGGGAATGCCATCCTATAAACATCTTTATATATAAGACACTGGACTTTGCCTTTAGGGGACAAGCTGCTCGGAGAACAAAGTAGGAAAATAGAAAAACTTTGGTGTTGTATGCCCTCCTGTTCTTTTTAAAATTTTGTGCCTTTAATGAATTACCCATTCAAAAATATGAAAGTATTTGCTTAAATACCCTGAAAGCTCAAATGTGCACAATGTTTTGCTTTCAACTGAGAGCAGCTTTGGGACAGGACAACTGTGCAACAAAAACACTTGGTAGAAAATCCAAATTCTTTGTCTTCTATGTAAGTCACTAACTCAATTCTTGACCCAAAAAAAAAAGAAAAAACAACAAAAAGCAGAAATCATTATAAAAAAGACTCTTTTCAGTATGTTGAAGATCTTTAGATATAAGAACCCCTCCCTTCTTCCTCACCCCTTTTATGAACAAATAAGGCAAAATGGCTTACCATTCCTGCCATCATCATATCCTGGTCAGCATCGTCTTGCTTTCTCTTCAGCTCTTTCTCCGCTTCCTGAAGTTGTTTCATCATATTGTTCACCTCTTTATCCAGATCTGTAACTTCTGCAAAGGTCCTTTCTGCCTCTGCCTTGGTACTGGTGGCATTCTAGGCATTAAATAAGCCAGTTACGAATGAGAAACACATGAGCACACACACGTACAAAGAACTCAATGCACTTCTCTAAAGTATTCTCCCACTCCTTTTATAATCTGTAAAATGGTTCAAAACACAATCCAGGAGGGAGAGTAGGAGCCAAGATATATACTATAATGTTCTGATTTATGTTCGTACTTATTTGTATTTCAAGTAACAGCAATAAAAATATCACAATCTACCATAATACTTTATAAAGAACTTTCATTTGTAGTCTCCTATTTAATCCTTTAAAACTACTTACGCTATTATGCCATTTTTAGCTGAGTTTGCATAACTACGAAATGCTTCACATTTAAGTGGGGGGTATACTTTATACCACATCATATTGATCAGACAATGTCACTTGCAGATATTTTAAGCCCAAAGCTAGCCTGGTTCTTCTTGGCAGTTCATCAAAATACACAAAAAGATCTTAATCCTGAAATATGAGTCTTTTATAACATATAATAAAACCCAAAATCAACCTATTCTAAAGAAACTAAAAAATGTATGTACTTCTCCAACATATAATTTTAGAATCAGTTCCAATCTTTCTTTTTACTCCTTTCAGTGCAACAAAGATTGACTTCAAGTAGAGAAAAGCTGGCCTAAAGACATTAATCATTAAGACGAGTGTAAAATATCTCAGTAGTGGCAGCTATAGAAATTTGATATAGGAGGGGCTTAGCTATGGCAATCAGCTTCAAAGAGGGGCTTGAAAGGTAGGCTGACATAGCATTCTATAGAACACTGGTGGGGGGCGCGGTTAAGTGTGCTTGTCAAAGCACTGTTTATCTAGAGAACTTAATGGAGCTTCCTTCCTTGGGGAAATAGGTTCTAGACGCCTAATACCATTTTCCTCTTCACATTCTTTCCCCTGATAATAACATATCTAACGTCTTAGGATGCTCTGGTGTCCTAGTCCACAGTAGTGTTTCTCTAGTGGTTCAAATCCACCAGCAGCTTTGAGGAGAAACATGGGCAATCTCCTTATATGTAAATGACAGCCTCTGAAAATCCACTGGAGGGTCAGCTATGATTCAGGGCAATGTATGATTGTATAACTCTAATGCCTAGTAAGCAACTGAGTAGTCACAGTTAGGAATTGTGTCTCCTAAAACAATGTGTTTAAATTCTAATCTGCTTGAGGTGAATCCTGTTTGTTGTTGTGTTCCGCAGAGTCAGAACTGACCCATAGCCGACCCTCCAGTGGGTTTTCAGAGGCAGTTAAACACACAGGAGGAGGTTGTCCATCCTTCCCCACCCCCACCCCCAGAGAGAGTGGCAAGTGGCCTTGAACTGTATGCCTTAGGAATTGCAGTGCAGCTTCTTGCCACTAGGTCACCAGAGCTCCCTAATACTGTTTAGGGATAGAGTTTTCTCTGTTGTGTTAGTGGGTCTTAAATCTAATCACTTCTGAGCTGTAAAAAAAAAAATAATAAATGGATGAGACATAGATGCTTTTGCATACTCAAGGGAAAAAAGATGCCACCTGAGGTTCACCCAGAAGCACCTGGGGCTACAGACAAGGAAGGAATCAACACATTTCAGGCCCTGGTTTGGACTTTCAGTCTTCAAAATCAAGAGAAATAGTATTTTCTGTTTCCAAAACTACCCACTTGTGGTAATTAATGTTTGATGATGCTTTATATGAGTCACAAAAAAAACCCTGCAAGGGCTTTTTGGGGTCTGGAAAGACAATAGAAAATGCAGAAAAGAATATGAGCAAACATTTGCTTTTGGAGAAGGGAGCAGCACACACCTTCTGGACAGCACTGGCAATCCTCTCCGCCTCGTGGGCCTTGTTCTTCGCCTCCCTGGCATCCGCATCAGCGTTGCCCAGGGCAAGGCGGGCTTCCTGCGTCTTCTCATTGGCTTCGTTGATAGTCTGGTTGATGGCAGGGATCCTCCTCAGCGCCTCCTCTGCCGCAGTCTTGTTATCATTCACTCGCCTATCGAAATCTAAAAGGAGTGACAGTATACAGTGGAACTGAGCTCTCCACAAGCAAAGGCAACCATTTGGGGAGATGCAACTGGGTTTTTATTTTATGAAACATGGTAGGCAAAGAAACAAATAATGAAAGACAGCATGGATTTATATTTTAGAAGAGCAAGGCACACATCTCTATGACAAAGATTTTCCAGCATTCATCACCTGAGTATATACATCTGTTGCTAGAAAGGAAATTCTTTGAACATTGATTTTAAGGCAGAGAACTGAATATATTATCACTACCTGGTTGATGTATAATGACAATTATTTGAGGGCTTACCATGTGTTGGGTAACAAGTCATGATGGTGCAGTGTGTAATATATCAGGCTGCTAACCAAAAAGTCAGCAGTTAAGTCCTCCAACAGTGAGAAAAGCAGTGGTTTTCTCTTGACAAGATTTACAGCCTTAGAAACCTGATGGTGGGTCACTGTAAGCTGGAACCACCTCTACGGTGGTGTTTTGCTGTGTCAGCTATCACACTAAGAGCTTTATGTCTCTGGGATGCATGTGCTGTATTATCTTCAAGGTGAGACCATGGTTAATTTTCCTGATGATTCACACATAAGAAGTAAGAGGTAAAAGAAGGATTCAAACCCAGAGCCCACACTTAACTATTTTGCTATACAGCTTCCCCAGTTACTGAACCTATGACTGTTTTCGCAGCACACAATCCAGGACCATTCAGTGAACCAGGAACATTCCTATCTTGGATGAAGAAAGAAAGAAAAAAATACCAAAAACAAAACACACCACCAACAAAACTAGCTGCCACTGACAGGAAAAAGAAAAGATAACAATCTTAATTTAGTGACACGAGTCAGCCAAACAGGCATTTTATCATGGTTATATGAGTCACTCTAACATAAGAAACCATCACTTCCCCCTTCCGCACCAGTTTTATCCTTGAAGTAATACAGAGGGGCAAAATGTTATTTGATCTTTTAGCATAAAAGAAAGTAGGGTGGAGTGGAGGTGAGTGTTTGGGAGTGAATGAAGCAAGTACAGTAAAAACCTAACTACTGAATCCGGGCCTTATTACACCTTCACCTTTAATTCTGTATGTGGTTGAAGAATCTCATGACAAAACAAAAAAGGCAATGTCCCTATAAATCTACCCGTCATTTGACTCTTTCCTACCTTTCAGGTTGTTGAGGATATCATTGGCTTCTTGTAAGGTATTTCGTCCCTTTTTAGCAGCTTCTTCAGCAAGAGCCTTGGCAGCATCAGCTCGGGCCAGGAGTTGGTCTGCAGTCTGCAAACACATGGCAGATCAGATAATAGATCGTTTTTGTCCTAACAGGGCCTCCAAGGGTGATGCAAATGGTCAACACGCTCAATTGGTAATGAAAAAGTTAGCTTTTTCTGAAGTGCCATCGGGTTGTTACAATCAACCTGATGGCACTTCAGACAAAAGGCCTGGAGATCTTATTCCAAAAGGAAATCCTGTGGCACACAGCTCTACTCTGATAGCTATGCAGTTGTCACGAGGTGGAATCAATGTGAAGGCAACTGGTAACCTAACGAAGCCTGACTGCTCCAAGCTGTCACACTAACCTTGGTATCATTTAACATGTTAGCCTCAGGTATGACTTTGAACACCTCACTCCTTCACCCTGAATGCTTTGTGTGCTGCTGCCTCTGAAAACACGGTAATGTAAAAGATACAGCTTATACTTGGAGCTCTATTGGCCCAGTGATAAGAAGGTATACTGCAAAACCAAAGGCATGAGGTTCAAATCTACCAGCAGCTGTATGGAAGGAGGATGGGCAATCTCCTCCTGTATAGTTTACCTGCCTTTGAAAACTCACTGGAGGGTTAGCTGTGGGTTGGTGCTTAATGACATGCAAAGACAACAATCCTTAGACCACTTTAAGTTTTGCCTTAAGAGGCAAAGCAACTTGAAATTCAAACTAACCTGCTGTTCGATTTTTCCTTTCTCCAAGAGGTTCTTTACTTGGAACTCCTTCACTCTCATGTCTTCCCTGAGGTCTTCATAATCTTTTAGCTTCTGGTCAATAAGACGGTCCAGATCATCAGCTTCTTTCTTTATTTTATTTGCTTCATTCTATGACAAATTAGTAAGATCAGTAAATTTTAGACAAAGTGAAGTCTTAACAACTCTTCAGCATTAAACACTCAAGAGAGTTTTGAAAGAATAGCAATTGTTTTTGTTGTTATGTGCCTTCGAGCTGCCTGTGACTCATAGCAACCCTACATGCTCTAATGCCTGCCTTTTCTTGGGCCAGTCTCACTGACACCAACACTCCTAATCCTACTGCCCTAGTTAGCATGTCAATCCATCTCATCTGGGTTCTTCCTCTCCTGCACTGTCCTTCCACCCTTCCAAGCATTATGTCCTTCTCTAAGGACTGGTCTCTCCTGGACACAAGCTCAAAGTATGTGAGATGGAGCTTCAACATCCTAGCCTTTAAGGAGAAACTCAGTTTCACTTTCTCCAAGACAGATCTATTCGTTCTCCTGGCCGTCCACAATATGTTCAATATTCTTCTTCTGCACCACAACTCAAAGGCATCAGTTCTGATCTTTTTTAAAAAAATGAAATCACTTTTGTTTTCACTTACCCACAGTGAGATAGATGCACAGTTTGTTTGTACAATTTGATGGGTTTGGATGAATGCACTTGGGCACCCAAACACTCAAAATTATACAGAATTTTCTACCAGCCCAGAAGGACCCTTCACTCTCTTTTCCAGTCAACCTCCACCCCTATAGTTATTGTTGTATCTCATCTACAAAAAGGTGAAATTTAGTAAGGGTTAATGCAAAAAAATAATTTACACATTTATTTAGAAGCTGATACGAGGGCGCATAGGTAAAAGACAAAATGAACTAAAACCCTACCAATCACCAAATACTCTATCTACTACCTGTCCCAAAGTGTTTGGTGTTTTCATTTAGACCTTTCTCTTTTCTTTCTCTGACAATGTTGGAAATAAAGAGGCCTGGTATACTCTGCTTTAAGTAATATAAATATATTGGAATTTGGGTTTTGTTATTTTTTTTTCATTTCAATGAAGGCTTACAAATCATACCACTTCTAATATAATCACAAGTATTTTGTTTTTTAATATTAATAACTATTGCTTAATGTAATTAATTATAATCTAAGCAAATCTTCATTGGGTGTTGCCTTTTATAATTTGGTTTTATATTAGAAGTAATTATTTATCTGACTTAAGAATGGATTAGTTTTTAATATTCCCAATGATCTGACTCTTGACCACAAAGTTCTATGACTGCATATAAAATAGAATGCAACTTTACAAGGGAGCCACATGGAGAATGCAGTTGAAGGATAGTCAGAATGTGTGTGAGTGTGAGTGAGTGAGAGTGTGTGTGTGTGTGTGTGTGTGTGTGTACACACGTGTGCATCTGGGAACTGTTGGTGCAAGCTGTGGAAAGATGACAGTGGTGAGAACCACCAGCCCTGTGCATTCTGGCTCTGTCACCCATACCTCCAGGGCCTCTGAGTCCACAGGGGTCAGCTGAGCGACACTGGCATAGATCTCCACAGCCTTATCACCAGCCCTTTTGGCTTCCTCATGAACCCGGGCTGCTTGCTTCTCCAGATCCTGTGAGATGTTCTTTGCTTGCTCATATCTAAGGAACAAAATATAAGATTTCATAGGTAACTTAGTGGGTTTTAGCATTGTAAGGTTAATCAAAATCAATCTGGCTTTACCCTTATTTCCCGCTTTGCATTTTTGTTGATACTTTGTGTTTAACAGAGGCTTTGTGTGTAATAGACATTATGCTGAAATACAAGATTTTCTTTTTTTTTAGATTAATAATGGCTTTTGCTACAACTAGATGGGACACCCATGTCCTAAATTATCTCTGGTGGTAGGATTACAGAGGTGAAGTCCATTTCTTCAGATTCATGCAATTGTATGAGTCCCCCCACCAGGCAATAGCAAGTACTACCACTGGAACAGGAGCTTCCCAAGAAACCTGTGAGGTTGGAAATGTTGGGGTGTGATGTATGTCCATGGAATACAAAAGAGTTAAATCACTACCACAGCATTTGGCTTGTATTTACTATCTCAACTTCAATGATGTATTTTTTTTTCCCTTCTTTTTTGTTTTAAGCAGAATTTTGAGTGTCTTGGCTAGTCTTGTTACCACTGTTGGCAGTTTCAGCAACAAGATCAAAGAAAAGCTCTGTGGCTCTGCATTCCCCACTCCAATTACTCCAACATTTAAAATGCAATATGAACAAAAGAAATCTTCCTGCATGAATGCATGCCCTGAATCCACCAGTACTTAACTTTTCATTGAACTTGTGTTAATATTATTCAAAATGGTTGACTCTGGAGAACATTATGCTGAGTGAAATATCCCAGTCACAAAAGGACAAATATTACATGATGCCACTGTTGTAGAATGGGACTAACCTCGGGGTTGGGGAGAGACTGAGTAAGATAGGTTCAATAATGTATACTGCACTGAAACAGAGGAGGGAGAAAACTGTTTAAAAGAGATATGTGACTAGGTATTTCTGTCAACACAGGAGTCTAGAGAGATGGCTACATGGTGGAGGGGACCTGGGGGAGGGTTTGTAAAACAATGAAAGAATCTTTTCTTTTACTTTTCCATAACTTTTGACTCATGTACTTATAACTTGTTAGTTAAATTTGTGTCTTCTAGGTTGCAACACCCCCATGATACATCTTCAAGGATATGAACATGTACGACTAAGTACAATTAATAACAGTGCATCTAAATTCCAAAATCAATCTCCATAATAGTCTATGTGTTTCCTACTGCCAAAGGGGCCCTTTAGAGTAGTGAGAGAAGATCTTCACCCTGAAACCCACAGCGTCCCTTTTCAGCAGGAAGTAGCTAAGAGAATACGCCATCCCCTTTTCCTTATGAATCAGGGTGAAGTCTCTCTCAGGGAGGAGTGATAGGGAATGGCAAAGGACACACTGACAAAGGAGATAAATCAGAACTGACTTTGACAAGCACTGTGGCAATTGGACAATTAAAACAGACATTCGGATCGCGGGGGAAGTAGAACAAACTGGGGAGAAGGATAGAGAGAATGGTGTGGCAATGAAGGAGTGAAAGCCCAGAATCCCTGTAAATGTTCATTAAAACTAATAAAATTTAATAATTAAAAAAAATGTAACACAAGAACATTTTAAGAACTGTAAACTACTTTAAGATGATACTCACTTCCTATTAAGTTCTTCAATCTCAATTGCTGTTTGATTTTCTCCCGCTAGTGTCTTCAGAAGCAGATTATATGCCTCAGTTGAGGTATCATTGGCTGTCTTTGCCACTCGTACAATGTTGTCAGCTTCCTGTTTATGGCTGCACAATATGAAAGGAAACATAATAAATCCTGAAAGTACTATCCATTACTAAAAACAATCAAGAATTCACAAGATACTGCACAACATACATGAATCTAAAACAAATCATGCTGAGTGACAGAATTCAGTCACAAAAGGACAATTCTAGTGTAACACCACTAACATAAAAGCGAAGGTCACAGAAACAAACATAGACAGAATCAGTCTTAGAAAGTTAACAGAGATGAGATGGGAGGAAGATAGGAATAAAACTAATAAACAGATAAACTAGATGAGGGGAAAGGCAATAGTACAGTATGGGTTTGATTAAATACTGTAATAAATTATATTAATTAATGTAATAAAGCAAAATGTCCATGGATGTTTGAAAATCCAATATGATTTGTAAACATTCATGCAAATAAAAAATAATAAACCATGAAACAGAACCATCTGTAATTTTTTTAGAGGAAAAAAAAGTAGAATTTAGGTAGTGTTTACTTTGTTATATATAAACAAACTTGAGCAAAGTTATAAAACTACTGGAAAACTTCATTAATTTACAATTTTATGATCATTTCAGTAGGGATAGATTTAAGAAAAGCACTTTAAAAACTCAGAAAAGAATATTTTTTTAAAAAGTAGTGATATAAAATTTAAAAGATTGGGCAAATATTTATGTTTCTGTAGAAAAGTGCCTTTGCACATAATTATTTAAGAATGATTTATAAATAAAATCTTATATGTGAACAAGCATTTATTTATCTAGTCAAACACAAATTCCAGAACTGACCTTAGCTAGTCTAGTTAAGAAACACTGGCACAGTCTGGAAGGAGTTAAGTGGCTATCTAAAAGCAGTGCCTCTCTTATCCCAGTATGATGAGGTCTTTTCTAAGACTTGAACCTCCTGGCAATATTTTCTCCAAGATTTTCTCTAATACTCTTGGGAACTTTCCAGAATATGTTTTTACCTGTCATCATTTCAATGAGAAGAGTCCACTATGAAACCATGAAAGTCCAATGACCTACATTACATATTCACATTTATATAAAATAGAAAGAGTGCTATAAAGGAAGATGACAGACATGTATTGCATAATACCACTGTTATAAAACAGGACTGAGGTTGGGGAAAAACTAAAGAAAAGAGGGGATAAATAATGTACATTGCATTGAAACAGATGAGAAATAGAACTACTTAAAAGGAATGCATGATTAGGTATTATTTTCATGACAACAGTCCAAGAATAAGAGCTGTACGGGGGCGAGGGTGTTCTCCAACAATGAAAGAATTTTTTATTTTTTTCAAAGAAATATGTGAACTTGGGGGAGGAGTGGGCAGGGAGGAAAATATACAACAATAAATAAATGGAAATCCAAGTTCTCTATAAACTTTCATTAAAATCTCAACTAAAAAAGGGGGGGGAGAGGACAAAAAAAGTAATTGATCTGGACACAGAGGCTGAAATTCTAATCAGGCTTATGTAAACACCCTTCAGCCATGGTTTCTATGTTAAACACTGCCAACAACTAACTACACCGAAGGTCTATGAGCCATTCTACAACACTTTCAATAAATATTTACTGAGTACCAACTAACTGTCAGTCACTTTTAGGCAGTGGGACTTTAATAGTAAATAAAATAGAAAAAAAAAATTTTTAAAAATAGTAAATAAAACGCACAAAAATATCTGCTCTCATCGAGCCCATTTTCTAGCAATTTTATTTCTTTAACAATTTTTTAACTTGACTGTCTATACAAGTCAAAGTCTTCTAAGTCAGGAATGAAAATAGTCTGTGTTCTTGGCTGGTTTTGAAATGCATTAAGGTTAAGTGATTCTTTTCTGCTGAGACTTGAAATTTCAACATTTTCTTTAAAAAAATTAAAAATTATATTCTCTTGAGATTTTTTTTTTTAACTATCAGCTTTAAAGCTTTGAGGTTAGAAATCTAAAATGTTATGTTTCCTCTGAGATGTCCTAAAATCTTTTCCTCTAAGCTACAGTCTTTCTTAAAAAAATTAGTTTATTAGAGTGCAGGTTTACAAATCATATTGGTTTTTCAATCACTCACAGACATTTGTTTTATAATATTAAGTGTCACCGATTAACATAACTATGTCTAATCAACTGCTTACAGTGTATAGCCTTTGCTTTCACCTAACGTATTAAGCCATGATTTTCTAATTCTCCAAGTAAATACTCAAATTTTAAAGAAAAAGGAAAATTATACACATGACTGAAAACATTTACAAAAGAGATCAAACTGCTACAAAGGGTTTTATGGAATGTGATATTACATGGCTGCTGCATGCCATCTCTTTCAAATTGCTCTTTGCTTTCTGAATAATTCTTCACGTGTCCTTGGGGATATGAGGCAGCATGCATGCAACAAAATGCTAAACAAGAATCCAGAGGTTACCGTTCAGCAAGTTTCCGTGCTTCTTCTGCTAAGAGAGTCATATTGTTTGGGTCCCCTGGAGATTCTGGCTGTGTGATTGACTGAAGAGGAAATTGAAACAAAGGGCTGAATTACATAAATTTCATAACAAGATCTTTACTTAATATCAGCCCTCTTGACTGTGGATTATTATTTCTACTTTCAGCATAAGATAAAGAAAAAATTAAATTGTCTAGCGTCATCAAAGAAAGCAAAGCTTGAGAGAACCAGATGTTCTTCTGTTATGCTCTAGTTTGTGATGACAATTGCGCCATGACTATGTGCAATGGTGGCTTTCTTGCTCCAAGTTTAAGGACCAATAAAAAGATGCAAGGTAGTGCAACAATGAATGAATGGAAATTCAAAGTCTCTGTAAATTTTCATTGAAATAAGAAATTAAAGAAAAAAAAAGATGCAAGGAGTGAATTTAGCTGATTTGGCTGAAGCAATACTCTACTGCCAGTTACAGACTTGTGGCACACTGTCACAAGAACCCTACCATCCCATCTCAAAACTTCCTGATCATGACCACTCACCACATTGGCAATGGCAACTTTCGCTTGCTCAAGTTCCCGTGATGCAATTTCAATCAACCTCTCTGTGCTCTCCACTTGGGCACGTGCTCGTTCAGCTAAATTCTCAGTGTCTTCGATGGTATTCCGGATATTCTGTAAACGGCTTATCTGGCTGGACAGAGTGTTGTTCACTCTCTGGAGGCGGTCCATCAGATTGTGGTCTACATCTACAATGACAGAGCAGAAGACAGACCAGAAATTACCTAAAGGAGTTACACATTATGTCATATGAAATCTGAGGCAACTGCTTAGACCAGCAGATACTTCTTATCTTCACTCTTGCAAACACAGCATCTTTCTGCCAAGTTTTCTCTAAGCTACCAGCAGGCTGATCCATTATGTATCCTAGGATGTACCTTCATTGCTGTGTTCTTGACATTGTTCTATAAGCATGTGCCTGCCTGCCTCATTGGATCACTAATCAAAAGATAAATATAAACCCATGTAAAAATATAAGGCTGCCATCATGAAAACTGTCATGTATTATGAGATTACACTGACATACCATTAATATTATTTTCAAAACTGTTCAGATTCTCATTCTGGCATAATAGCCAGTTTTGGGATCTAAACCCTTCAAGAAAGGTAAAATGTTAAGTGCAACAAACATTACTGTAAGGTTAGAAAATTATTAGCCTGGAAGCACGGCCATCAAGCATGTCTGTTAAAGTTGTATACTGCACAACTGTCGCCTACACAGTGGTATTACTTAGATGAATACTTAAATAATTCTAATAATCCAGTTATGTTTAAAAAAGAGGACGGCACATAACAACAACACACAAAGTAATTTAAGTCTAAGAGGCATCAGCTTTCAGGGAGGTTTTAGAAACCTTTACAACTTTAAGAATACAATAGATCTTTATCTCACTAGCCAGTTCTTCAAAGAAACAACAGCTTTGAAAAGAGAACAGATCACCTAACTGGTAGGATCACTTCAAATTCCTTCCAATTCTAAGTATCTATTTGCAAGACCTAACTGCACCATATAATCTCCTTTAAAATCTGCAAAATAAACATAAGGCTGAAATACAAATGAATACTTAGGGATAGAATTAAAAGATAAAATAAATTATTATGAAGATATTTTCATTTTTGGCTAGTTTTAACCTAGACAAGAAAAGTCAGCCAAGAATGCCACCAGTGAGCCTTAGCGGGAATGGATTTTAACCCCTGCCTCACTTTGGTGCTCCCAGCCCAGTGTACTGTCCAGCCCTCAGGAGGACCCCCAGGAGGCATGACGGTCATGGCTCCCATGAAGGCTGCCACCTAACAGATCCATCTGCTTGGGCAGAAGAGAGTGGGCAACAGTTGGAGTGGAAAGGTGCCATTTGTAGCTCAGGAAGTGCTTAGAGCTGAGAGGGCTGGCGAGCTTACAGGTTGGCCTTCCCAACACTGTGTGCCAAACTCCAGCTCTCAGCAGAGGATCATTATGTGCTGAAGAATGACAACCACAATGTCACCCTCCAACGTGTGGCAAGATAGATGTGAACTTGATTTACGAGAATATATTAAAGGAACAAAACATGGGTCAAAATTTGCTCTTAAAAAAAAAAAAGTTCAATAAACACTGTTGTTTATATAGAACAGGAAACATCTACATTCTTTTTTAAATTAATTTTGCTGTTGTTAGGTGCTGTCAAATTGACTTTTCTATTTTTAAGCAACTCTCTATGACAGAGAACTGTCTCACAGGTTTTCTAAGATGAAATTTTTATGAGAGCTGAGAGCCACCACATCTTTCTCCCATGAAGCTGCTCAATGGGTTTGAACTGCTGACCTGGTGCACTACAAGGGCTCCTTAATCTATGCTTAAGACTTACAATGCAACAACAACCAACATTTAAGAATAAATTCTAGGATTGTGACGCTTTGTCTGGCATACTTTGGACATGTTGCAAAGTAGGATCAGTCCTTGGAGAGGGATGTCATGCTTGGGAGGATGGAGCGACAGCGCAGGACAGGAAGACACTTGAAATGGACTGGTTCAGTGACTGGGGTAATGGGGATATGTATGTCAGAGACAGTAAGATTGGCACAGGATAGAGCAGGGTTTAAGGCTGTTGTACATAGGGTCACTATAAGTCACAGGTGACTCATGGCACATAACAACAGGAAATTCACCAGAAGAGTATCTACTCTTTAGAACCATCAAGCAATCAAGATCAAGAGTAGCTTCTGTCAAGGGTTAAAATTCATATAGCAGGAAAGGACAGGTAAGAAAAAGATGACTAGATATGGTAAACATACAGAAGAGGAGGGAGGAGTGTTACACTGATGAGATTGCAATCAATCATGTTGTGAAACAAAATGAACATGGATTGTTCAATGGAAAACAAACTTGCTCTGTCAACTTTTATTTAAATAACAATTTATTTTTTGCCAGAAGTTAGTGAATTATCTAAAAATAACTAACTTTTACATTAAAAAACTTTTATGAACTTTGTAGATAAACCAGTATAAAATAAAATTTAAAAACCAAGCCAAAACAAAACCAAACCAACAACTAAAGTTTCCTTTGATTCATGAATGTATTTAAAAATAAGTTTTATTCTGTACCTTTCTTTGGTGTAAAAATGCATATTTAAATATAAGAAAACAAATCACAGTTTGCGTTAATATTTTAAATGTCACAAAGTATGGAATTTTAAACAATATGTATTTTATGTTTAACTAATATTTCTATAACACAGGCTTTTCCATATTTTTCTTTTTATTTTTGTATGTCGTATCTTAACTTCTCTGCTCATAGGCAGGTCTCATCAGATGATGTGCAGAAGGGGCTATCAATCTAGCTGAAAAGAACCTTAAATATGCGCATAATGCATAAAATGGACATTTTTAAATGGAATGTTACCAACACATCTGTTTGTTAATTAGGGAGGAAATTTCTTAAGTGGACACTAATTTCTAGTCTTTCCATTCCTAAATGCCAAGCATTGTGTACTCAGCAGCACCTGTTCATGTAATACTTGAAGGCCACAATATTTCATCATGTGCTCTAAGGAAATAAAAGTGTGTAAAATATGTTAGCACTCACTAGAATGCTGGAAAATCAAAGCTTATATTTTTTACTTTAAAAAAATGCATACTAAAAATGTGTAGCTTAAGTGACTTTTGTACTATTTTTAAATGTCTTGTAATGGGATAATCTGTTGCCAATGCCATCAAGTCAATTAATCCCATAGGTTAAGAATTTCAGATGGCCTAGCAGGTGAAGAGTTCCGCTGCCAACTCAAAGGCAGGTGGTTCAAATCCACCAGCTGCTTCTTGGTAGAAAGATAGGCAATCTTCTCCTATGCTGATTTACAGTCTCTGAAAATACACTGGACTTCAGCTATGAGTCTGTTTCAACTCAATGACAGTAAGTGAGTGAAGAGGGATGAAAAAAATGATGAGGGTAAAAATAGTATTTATATAAAACAGAATGTATATGAAGAAAAAAGGGAACTGATCAATACTAGTTATTAGTTATTATTTAGTTGGTTATTTAAAACAATGTATACAAATGACTATTTAAAACACAGTGTATATGACTGAAGCACAGTATGAATGACTGTACAAAAACTAATTTAAAAGAATACCCATTCATTTGATGACACACATTTGCACTGTTTCTCTCTCTGTGGTACTGTGAATAATGCTCACATGGGTGTACATACATCTGAGTTGTGGCTCTGGTTTCTTTAAAGTATATTTCCAGTAGTGTGACAGCTGAGTCAAATGGAGTTTCTATTTCCAACTTTTTGACAAAATGCCAAACTGCCTTCCATAGTGGTCATACAATTTTATATTCCCACCAGAAGTAAATGAGAGTTCCAATCTCTTCACATCCTCACCAGCATTTGTTGTGGGGTGCCTTGTTGAACTTTACTATTGCTGCAGGCGTGAGATGATATCTCATTGTTCTAATATGCATCTCTCTGATAGCTAGGGATTTTGAACATTTCTGAATGTGGGGTTTTTTTTTTGCCATTTGAAGTAGTCCAAATAAATGGATAGAAAAACTATGGTATATCCATAGAATGGAATATTATACAGCACTGAAAAACAGTGAACTTGTAAAACACTGTACAACATGGCTGAGTTTGGAAGACATTATGCTGAGTGAAATATCTTAGTCACAAAAGGGCAAATACTGCACAAAATGACTGTTATAAAAATAGGATGGACATAAGGGAAGGGAGAGCAGGGAAAGAATGGATAAATAATGAAACCTACCTGGAATGGGAGAGGTAGGGACTATCAGAAGGGAATGCATGATTAGATGTGTGTACAGTAATTATCTAGAACAAGATATGTATTACAGAGTGAATTGGGAGAGCAGGAGGGGAAAATGAGTATATCAGTGGATGAATAAAAACCCATCCTTTCTGTAAACTTTTAATGAAAATCACAATTTAAAAAATTTTTTATGATAAAGCAATAAATAAATAAAACAATAAATCAATAGCTAGGGGATTTTGAATATTTCTTCATGTGTTTGTTGACTGAATTTATTCTTTGGTGAATTTATTCTTTTGGCTCCAGTGCCTATCAATAAACCAATTGATAGAAAAATGATGGTATAGCCACACAATGGAATATTACACAGCACTGAAAAATAGTGAACTTGAACAATCAATCGATAATGTGATACTGCTCCCCAGGGCTTTTTTATATGTCATCTTTATGCAAGTAAGTTGTCAGACCTTTGAGTATGTATGAACTGCCAACCTTTAGGTTAACAGTCACGTGCACTCACTAGGAAAAAACCTTAAAATGGGGAAGATTTATATAATATTTGAAATGTATGCTGACATTAAGCTAGTGAGTTACTTTTAAAAATGTGGGTTAGAAAACAATAACCCATATTCTATAAAAAGTTTCAAGACTGAGAAAGAATTTTCTAAAACTGCACTAATTAACCTTGAATTAAAAACCACATCTAAATACTAGTCAATCTCACTATTCAATCATGTGTACCTTTGACATCCTGGGCCTCACGAAGAAGGTCCATCACTTCTCTCTCTGCTTCCTTCAGTCTGTCCTCAAAGGCTTTATCTGTCACCACATCATCCCCAGTTCCAAGGTTTGCTATGAGTCCCTCTAATTCCTGGAGTTTCAGTCGGTGATCAGCAACCTAAACATAATGAAGAGAGAAAAGAGGTAAGAAAGACATTCTGGATGTTATCTCCAGCAGGAATAGTACAGATACCCTTTGAATGTGGACATCTATACATTCCAGATCCATCTACTTTCAAATAGATAACATGATTAGTTGCTCTTTATCATCATGACTTCAAAAGGAAAATGGGCAGGACCATTCCTCTGACTTTAAACAAGACATGCTGATGCTGCTGATTCCCAGCCTCCAAGGTGCTCTGGTGGCAGAGCCTGCACGGTGCTGCGATGCTAACCAGAGACTTATGTCTCAGTCTGGAGATAAATAATAAACATGACATACACACTCCTACCACTATCCCAAAATAGGAAAACTCGTATGAAACCTTTCATAAGTTAAATGGCATAAAGTTAGTGACATAAAGTTAACCATTAACATACATGGGAAAATTTTTTAGTATTCCCAGACCCAGGAAATACCTTTCCAAATTATACCAAAAAAACCCCCATAAAAACCTAAAATAACACTAACACATAGTGTTCATACAGTCCAAAGCTATGGTGGTTTGATGCTGAGCATAGTTCCCAGGGAAGGGGCTTGGTGGCCTGCTCAGGGTACAGGCTTCCCTACAACAGCCTGTAGCAAAACAAACTTTAAATGTTAGTTTCACTTTGCTAAAAAATAAAGGTGAAAATCCTCTTTAGATTTATTTCAGTTATAAAAAACAAACCAACCAACCAACAAACCAGATAGTGAAATAAGGTAGTATAGTGTATTGAGTATGCAGACAGTTCAAATCCACCAGCCATTGTTCTATGGGAGAAAGAGGGACAATATCCTCCCAGAAGACTGATTTACAGCCTCTGAAAACCTGCTGGAAGGTTGGCTATGAGTAAGTCTAACTTGATGGCAATATGTTTGAGTTTTTGAGTGTCATAAAAGCACTGTGGAAAAACAAACTTTCAAAAAGGAATGGAGACCCTACAAAAGAGACAGTTAATGTCATAAAGGATACAAATAGAATATAGCAAGAGGAGACTAGTTTTGGTAGGACTCTCTATTGTTACATACCACTGAGTTGGAACCAACTCATACCTGAACCTCCAGCAGGCTTTCAGAGGCAGTAAATGGACTGGAAGGAGACTATCCATCCTTCCTCCATGGAGTAGCTGGTGAATTTGAACCCAGTGCCTTTGGGTTGACAGTGTAACTCCTTACCACTAACCCACCAGAGCTCTCTAGGACTGTCTAGGGGAAGTGAATTTCAGGTGAGATCCCCAGGATATGAAGGAACAAGTCATGAGAAGGACTGCAGGTTGTCCCTGGCAAAAGGAAGCCGACCTAAAACGACCTTGAAGCTAGTGGGTGGCTGGGACATGCTGAGTGAGGGAAGAGTGGTGTGGTTAAGACTGGCGGAGTTAGGATGCAGGTCCATGCTGGTCACAGCAGGGATGCTAGGTTTTAGCTCAAATCAAACACAACTCCAGTGAAGATTTTTTTAATCTAGAAAAATCCACTTTACACCTGAAATATACTCTAGCGTGTGAAGAATGGTGGTTAGAAGTGGGGAAATATAAAGTCTGGACTGGATTGGATAAATATCTGTGTTAGAAGGGGAGCATTCTGAGTGGGCAAGGATATAGAAGAGTATAATCAAGAATGAGTCTTAGATTTTTGGCTTACGATTCATGGAGGGATTGTTTACAGAAAAGAGGACAACTCAGAACAGGCTTCGGGGTAAATCAACAGAACAATCTGGATGTGATGTTTGAGATAATGATCAGAGGAGCCGAATAGAAATATCAAGGAGGTCATGTAAAATTCAGGAAGAGTTATCTTGCCGAACAAGATAGAGTCACTGCTCTCAGCGACCTATTTAGTTTTTCTCTCCTGACCCGAGATGCACAGTAAGCGTGCAGTGTGTATGGAATTAATGGATGCACTGCCGAGAGCTCACCTTATCTTTCACCAGCCGGTAGCACGGAGGGCATTCCTGGCAGCCAGGCCGGGACCGATTGTGGAAATAGTTTTCTTCACACTGGTCACAGCGGTGCCCCACGAAGCCTTCTCTGCATTCACAGCGACCGTCATCTTTGCACTGCAGTGACAGAGACCCCTCCGGGTGACAGTCACAGGCTGCAGGGCCAAGGAGTAAGATGATATGATATGTTAAGAAAGAAACAGAAAAAGACAGAAGAAAATAATTTTCTTCTTGAATTCATTTTCTCCACCAGAATTCAGATTATTATCAAAGCTGACAGTACTAACATTCTAAGTATATACACTCTTTGAAAACAGGCCTACTTATAAGAATTTACAGTTAAGTGCTAGAGGAGATGGATATTTTTAAAGGAAACAGTTATTTGTAAAGCAAAATGCACATCCTCTGAAGCACATGTCATATCACTTGATGATTACAGAAATTATTAATCTGTACCGTTTATATCCACTGCAAGAATTCACCTCTATACTCACCACGCTATGCTTTAAAATTTCTTTCACTGAGGGACTAGGAAAACCCAGCTACTAAGGCTTATTTTGCATCACTTTATAGTGTGTTTACTCACTTTGTTATCTAAAGTCAGTTAATGACTTATGCTACATTCCACAAGAGAAATGAAGAAGTTCAGAAAGCAAAAACCAAACTGTTCTGAGACCTAATTCCAGGCAAGTGTTTACGCCAAGGAGAAGCAGATGTTTAGACGTAAGTGTACCAGAAGGGTCCCAAGGGCGGGAAGCAACTGCAGCCAGTAAGTCAATAAACACATTGTGAACAGAGAATCCTTCACTGCTTCATTATCTGAACTAACAACGTGATCAATTAGATTTCCTTAAACACAGTTGGAGGGCTCTGTTTTCTTTGGAAAACTAATATTATAAAAACAAAAGACTCAAGAATGCTACTAAAGAAAAGATAAATAAAATGGTTGCAAAGAAAGCAGAGCAACCCTTAAGCTCTAGATTTTTAGAAAAGGATCAATGTCCACCTAATAAATCATCTTGCATGCTTCAGATGCAGGCCTGATTATAGGCCAGATCTGGCCAGCCTGAAGATCTGCCCCCTTTCTGACTCTTAGTGCTAACTGGAATGAGGAGAGATTTTCGTAATTTGTTGGGCTACTAACCAGTCTCTTCCCATAAAGATTTACAACCCTCAAAACCCGACGGAAGGTTGTGATGAGCTGAACTCAACTCAATGAAAGTGGGTTAGTGGGTTTTTTAAGTTCCACAGGTGGTCTAGTGAAGCATTAGTTAAGCGTCCAAATGGTCATCAAAAGGTTGAAGGTTCAAATCCACCAACAACTCAGAAGAAGAAAGATTTCCAGTCTGCTACTGGAAAGATTACACTCTTTGGAAGCCCTATTGGGTGGGGGGGGTTCACTCTGAGTCAGAATTGGCTCAATGGCAATGCTTTTTATTTGAGGGTGGTGGTGACTGACCTATCAGAGGTCAGCCTATATAACTTGTGTGTAGTGTTTAAGCACAGATGTATTAATTTTTATGAAATTATCCTTGTTTATTATAACAACAAAAACTTGTAACCCCAATTTTTATATTCAATCACAAGACTAAAGTATATCCTAAGACTGAAACCTTGCTAATTTACTTTTTGAGTCCTTTAATGAATGCCCTTTGGTCAGAGCTGTCATGATCACCCAATTACAATGTCACTTCAGATCACACAGCTTCATTTGTACATGCTAAAATCATGAGCTATTTTTTGTTGTTGGTGGTTTTGTTTCTGTGTTTGGTGATTTTTGTTAGATATTGTATATTTTAACTATAATACTGAGGTAATTAGCTTTTTGTGAGCACCTAATCAACTTTTTTTAAAAAATGAAATGGTAATTAAGGAGAAAAATCAAAACAGGATCCTGTTCAATTATTAAAGAAGCTGTAAGCAATAATTTTGCAATTCAGTGTGGAAAGATTTTGCAAAAGAATTTTGTCGTTCTATCTCATAGCCTATTGAGTCAGCACCGACTGACTCCAGGGAGCTTTCAGAAGCTATAAATCACACAGGAGGAGTGTGCACATCTTTCTCTGTGGAGCGGTTGGTAGATTCAAACCACTACAGAGGCACCACCTTTCGATTAGCAGTGCAACTTCCTGTGGACTATGCCACCAGAGATCAGTATTATACAATCTAAAAAATATTTAATAGAGCTAAGAGAATGACAATATACTTATTACATATTACTTTAGGGTAAAAATTGATGGCAGACATTACCAAGGATGGTCTGGTATGAGAGGAGGTTTACATGGAAGACTGACCCCAGCAGTTGCCACATTAGTTAACAACAATCTCAGCATGCCACAGGGTTTTGTAAAAAGTAAAGTCATCAGAGACCAACACCCCTTACGTTTGCAGCCTTCTGGTCCAAATCCAAAGTGGTTGACCTCACACCGTTCACAGTGTTGACCCGTGATGCCTGGCTGGCACTCACACTGGCCTGTGATAATGTCACACTGACCATTGGTGGAACCCAAGGCATGGCAGTCACACCTGGAAACAAGCACAAGACATTTGTCAGGAAAGACAAGCTGACTCTAGGAACACTGTTCTTTCCCTCTACCAGAAAAACACAGACACAACCTGTATCAGGCCACAGAATACACGAACGAATAAGACAAAATGCTTGTGGTCACTGAACTCCTGAGGTTATTTTCTTTGGTCTCTAGGCGTCTGCACTTCTAGTTATTTCCTATAAGTGGAATTATACAGTATTTGTCTTTTTGTGTCTGGTTTAGTGCACTTAGCATACTGTTTTCAAGGTTCATCAATGGTGTGCATATATTAAAATGTCACCCCTTCTTAAGGTTGAGTAACATTTCATTGTATGGACAGAGTACATTTTACTTATCTAGGTAACTGCTGATGAATATTTGGGTTGTTCCTTCTTTAGCTAATGTGAATAATGTTGGATGAACAATGGTGTACAAGTATTTGTGTTGAGACCCTGCCTTCAAAGAACTACAGACTTATCTGGTGAATCTTAAGATCTCTGGTGGTGCAGTGAGTGTTTGATCACAAACAGTCAGCTGTTCTAATCATGAGCTGCTCCGTGGGAGAGAGATGTTACAGTCTGCTTCTACCACGATTACAGCCTCGGAGACCCTAGGGGTTCATGCTACTCTTTCCTAAAAGGTCACTATGAGTTAGAATTGATTTAACAGAAGTGGTGGGTTTCATTGCTGTTTATTTTTTCTTTATGGTTTTTTGGTACATGCTGTGGAGAGAGACTGGCAAAGTGTAACCTGAGGCTTCTTCCATTTGTGCTGGCCACTATTGAAGGTTTACCTTGTCAGATGATTGAAGGAAAAGTTGATTTACAACTGCCCTGAGGCAAACCTTGCTGGACGATTGAGGGAAATAGAGGCTTCTTGAATTTGTGTGCTAAACTGGAACCAGGACTTTTACTAATTAAGAAATGGTGTTTTGCTGTTAATCTGGCTTGGGACTGCTGAACTAAACCTGGACTTGCACTGTGAGATATTCTTTACCTCTCCCACTCTCCAACCTATTTCCCTAATAAGGCTCACTCCTGGTACCACAACTGTGAGTAAAATCTGTGCGTCAACAACAAATATCAAACCTAGTAATTGGAGGAAATACATGCAGGAGCATGGGGGATTGCATGTCTGACCTAGCAGCAATCTTGTCTACTGCTATGGATATTTCTGAAGGAAAACGCTCCCTTTTGTGAAGTGGACAGAAGTCAAACTCGGTCATTCCCGTGCTGCATCTGTTCCTTTTGCAGCATGTTAAGTCTATGCTCAATTTTTTTTTTAGGAAACACGAATCTGTGATCCTGCCCAGGAACATTTGAAATAAAGAATTTCCAAGTTGTACCTCTGGAGAGTCTAACTACTTTGGTTAAGAGCTCAACATAGTATAGAGTAAACCACCAGAGCTCTCTGAGAGTCTAAGTATTTTGGAAAGGACATTGTGATTTGTGTTTTTCAAATGTTCTTCAGATGATTCTGATTATCTAGGGCTGCTTAGCTCCATTTCTCCCTCCCATCAACTTAACTAAAACTCTCTAGCACTGCCTCTAAAGGGTGCTTGGATACTTCCAGAATGAAGTTGTGCAACTGTAAAATGACCTGTAAAAATGTATTTCTTACAATAAAATGAAGGCAACAATTATTCCCATCAATGACATCAATATCTCACCTCTCGCAGCCTTGTCCGCTCTGCAGGTTATAGAATCCAGGGTCACAGGCACCACAGTCCCTGTCCGTCACATGAGGCAGACATTCACACTGTCCAGTCACGGGGTTACAGCTGCCCTGCTGCCTCACGGTACCATAGGGGTTGCAACTGCAGGCTAGGGTGGACAGGCAGAGACAGAATGAGACTCAACTACTCTCATTTTTAGAAATACTAACACATAGACATTGAAAGTAGATCTTTTAGAATGGTCTTAATATAGTCGCTGCTAACCACATAATGCCTCTGAAGCACTTGAGATGTGGCTCCTCTGCATTGAGATGCACTGCCCATGTGAAATATACACTGGATTTGAAAGACTTAGCATTTAAAAAAATTCACTAATAAATTCTGTATTGCTCACTTGTTGAAATGATATATTAAATACTTTTTATTAAGTAAAATGTTACCAAATTTCATTTCATCTGCTCCCCGGTCTTTTACTATGGCCATTAGACAACTTTAAGTTGCATAAACGGCTCACAATGTATTTCTATCAGACAGTGAACTGTCATTTTTAGAGACTGCACAATGAATGCTCAAGAAAAACATGCGATTGTTAGCCAGTCTGACCAGTGGCTGATTACCTTTGCATTTGTCTGCTGGATTGGGAGCCAGGGGATTTCCAAAAAACCCATCTTTGCAGCGGTCACAATAGAAGCCGGCAGTGTTATAGATGCATTTCAGGCATTCTCCCGTCAAGCGATTGCAATTCCCAACTGCATTAGGATCAATGTTGTCATTACATTGGCACAGGCGACAAAGCCTCACAGGGCCATTTCTACCCAAAGGGTCTCCAAAGTAGCCATCATCACAGAGTTCACACCTTTTCCCTGGGGGGTGGGCGAGATAATCTGATGTTAGGACAGAGTACAGTCATTTCCAATGCTGAATGATCACTGGTTACTAGCAGTCTAGTCCAGCTATTACATGAGGAGATCAGAAGACCTGGGCCAAAGGCTCAGGGCCAGGAGTAACCCTGGGCATGCCTCTGACTTCTCCCAGGCTCTGTTTACTTATCATTATCTGCTTAATAGGCAATCCTAGTTTGCCTAACCAAAAATATCCAATGTGTTGCCACATATCAACTTTAAGGTAGCAGACTGCCTCATCTCTGTCCTGTCCAGTGGTTAGGGGCTTCAAAGCACTAGACTTTCAATTAGCAATTGAGCACTTCATCTCTGCCAATCAATTGAAATAATGTCTCAAAATGGTTTTAGTTGTAAATGGATCAAGTAACAAGAGTGTTATGTTCTATAATCATGAGTGATGCCTACTTCTGTCATATAAAATTATTTTTGAAAAGTATGTTTGAAAATGATGAAGTGTTACGCTTGATGTAGGAAGGGGTGTTTAAGAAATAAAGGCATATGCTACTTTTTGCTGAACAGCTTAACGGATCATTAACTGCAACTTGTTTCTATTGGAGCCAAGGGAACTGAGAGGTTAAGAAACTTGCCTATAGCCAAATGGCTTCCCAGAACAGATAAAACTGGAATTTAGGGCTTGTTCTACTGTACTAAACCTATAGCTTTTCATGCTTCCTTTTCCTTTTTTTTGCTTTTGGTGGCCTATTGGGTAAAGGGTTGCACTGCCAACTCAAATGCAAGTGGTTCAAATCTACCTGCTGCTCTGACACAGAAGACAGGCAGTCTCCTCCTACGAAATTGAAGTCTCTGAAAACCTGCTTGGAGGATCAGCTACAAGTTGGTCACAACTCAAAGGCAAGTAACAACAGTCAATAAGGTGGGGCTTTTATGTCTTTGAAGTCAATAAGGTCTTTACTTACCTAAAAACTCTGAAGAAACAGTATTTGCTCATTTATTAATTTGACAAATATTTACTGAGCCTCTACTATAAATTAGCACTATTCTAGATCCAAGAAGAAAAGGAAGAAGTAATGAACTTAAAACTTGTTCTCTTGAAATGTACAATGTAGTAAGCTGAGGCAGACATTATAAAATTATTTCAGGCAAAGCAATGAGCAAAAAGATGAAACTGGCTAGAGTATTATGACAGTGACAGAGAGAGAATGAAATGACTACAGCCAAGTTATCCATAATTAGTTCTGATGGAAGAGTTAAACAAAACAAAAAACCTTGGCGACCTTCCATTGAGTTTTTAAGAATTAAAGAAAGGGAAAAGGGGGGGTGGAACCCAACCAAAAACCAACCCATGGCAACCTTCCACAGAATCTCCAAGCCTGTAAGTGTTATGGAAGGAGACTGTTCATTTTCTCCTACAGACCAACTGGTGGATTCGAACTGCTAACAATTCTGTTATCAGAACAATATGTAACATACTACGCCACTAGGGCTTCTGGCCTAGGAAAAACAGAAGAGCAAGAAGAGGAAACTCACCCAGAACTGTGTGAGTCAATGGAAGGAATTTAAGTATCAATTTAAATAAGAAGCAACTGGAAGAGGTTAAAAATGAGTGAATTTTGTTCAAATTTTAAAAGGATGAGTCTAGCTGCTGGGTGGCAAATGGCTTATGAAGGCTTGCAGTAAGGGAGATAGACCAGTAAGGAGGTTATTTCTAGGGGAGAGATGACAGTGGCTTGGACTACAGTAGTGGAAGTGATAAAAAGTCATCAGATATGAGACCAAATTGGTAAGACTTGATGATTCATTATAGGGTGGAAGATTATTTTAAAGATGTATGTGAAAGAATACTATGAAGATATGATTGACTATCAGTAGATATTTATATTTGGGTTATTTTTTATATGGTCTTCTATATGAGTAAAATGAAATATTGGTATTCCTTAAAAAATATGTTCACCAAGCACTGAAGTTAGGGATTTAAAGTGAATAAAATGGGCAAAGTGCCTACTCTCCAGGAGCTTAAAACTCAGGGTTAGAGGTTGGGAAGCTAAGGAGACAGACAATAATATATCATCAGTAACAATAATAAAAAGAGCGCAGTTTTTTAAAATGTCACATACGTATAGCTGAGAGCAAACATTACAGGTAGGAAAAGGTTCACTTTATGTTATGGCTGCAGAGTACAACACCCTAGTCATTGGGATATTCTGAGGAAAGTGCACTGAGGAAAACTTTCCTGGGGAAATGTTTTTTCAATGTGAAAAATAGAAGGTTAATGGTACATCAGGGAGCCTGGGTCTCCTCACTTAGTCAGCCAAGGTAGGGCTCTGAGCTGCTAGAGAAGATATAGGTGTTATGTTCTTTTGTTTAAAAAAAAAAACAAACCAAAACAAAACAGAAAGGGAACACTACTCAAAGCTTTCAAGCGTGCATGTATGAGCTCTGGAACCCTGAAAGGATTATTTAGGGAAAGAAACAATTAATTTATAAATGACAACTTTTGTTATCAAGAATCCCAGACACAAACTAAAAATGAAGTTTGGTTCTCATTTCATGAGAGACCCTCTGGAGCCACACAGCCTAGGCTGGAATCCCAGCTCAACTGGTAACTAGCCATGTATAGCCTTCGATGTGTTACTTAATGTCCTTGTGCTTCCGTTTTCTTGACTATAACATAGGATTAAAGGCAGTACCTAACTCACAAGGCTGGGGAGATTAATGAGGCAGAACATATCAAGTGCTTAGAATGGTACCTGACCTTTAATAAACATTCAGTAAATGTTAGCTATTACTAGTCAACTAGTCACCTGCGATGTGTTATATGAATCCATAGCAAGCCTGTTTTCTACAAAAATTTCTCATACCAGAGGAACTGTAATCACTGAACCAAACACAAAAGAAATAAATAAAAGACCCAGAAAACCCTCTTGTCAAGGACTTCTTAGTGGATGGAACTCTGAAAGATGCTGAAGAGGCAGACTTACCAGTGGTGCCAGTGGGACAATTTGTGCACACCACTTCCTTTGTCCTGGGGACAACAGCACAACTGGAGCCTCCAGGGCAGGGGCAGGGTTGGCAATCTGAGGAGGTACCCGTGGTTGAATCTCCATAGTACCCATCACTGCATTTTTCACAGTGTGGCCCAGCTGTGTTGTCTCTGCAGTTGCAGACACCTATTTGGAGAGCATATGGGAGAAAACAGGCAAGTCTATGGGTCAAGAAGACACTTTCCATTTCCTTCCCCCTGCTAAAGAAAACAGACCAAGGGAGTGCCAAAGGTTATCTTCTCACCTGTCTCAGGGTCACAGGTCTCGCTGTGCCCGTTGCACGAACAAAGCACACAGGGGCTATATGGTCCAAGACTTGGTGTTTCTCGCCTGTAGCCTTCAATGCACATCTCACAAAACTGCCCTGTGTACCCCGCAGGGCAGGTGCAGGTCTCCACCCATGGTGCGGGGACCCCAGGCCCAGGACGAGCACTTGACAAGGTGACATCATCCAGATACCCTGCACCTGTGTATGGCACAAAGAACAGAAACACTGAACTGGCTACTGTTTTCTAAACATTCGTGGAAAGTCCGTAATGTTAAAGGGGAGTCAGATCCAAAATTCCAGGAAAAACCAGCCAGTAGGTTAACTCACCCACTGAAAATGAAAACCAGAATACAGCATTAGAACAATCATGGCAGTACCTGATGCCAAATATCTGGAGAGATGGTTTATCAACCTGTGATTATTAAACATGTGCATGCACATAGCTGTACTTGTTAGCCTCCCCAGCTCTTCCAATCAGCCGTGTGAAAGTGGAAAGCACTGGACACTCATATGGGGCAAGAAGCATGAGAAACCTCAACTCAAAAGGAGTTTCAGCACCTATTGCTATTAAACGTTTTTTTTGTTCTTTTGCCATAAAAGCAAGCACTATCTCTAAAGTTCAAGGTAAAAATCACTGTCAACAAGGAAGAGGTTATATGTTTTAGGGAACTTTCCAAATCATTGAGGAATAATGGTGTCAGTTTGAAGACTAAGGTGCATCTGATTCAGGCCATGTTCTTTCCAATCACTTGCTTATACAGCTGAGAGCTGGATAAAAGAAGAGTGGATGCCTTTGAGCAGTGGTGTTGGAGAAGAGCAATGAACATCCCATGGACGGCCAAAAGTACAGGCCCTGAAGAGGGTGCAGCCAGAGTGCTCTTTGGAGGCAAAAATAGTGAGGCTTTACCTTACATACTTCAAGCAAATGTTCAGGGGTGGAAGGGGAGGAGCTATTCCTTGGATAGGCACATGATGCTCAGAAAGGCAGAGGATTGGCAAAGGAGAATACGACCCACAACCAAGTGGATTGACACAGCAACTGCCGCAATGAGCTCCTAGTATTTCAAGAAGTGTGGGGATGGTACAGATAGGAGAGTTCAGATCTGTGGTTCATAGGGTCGCTAGGGATCATACTCAACTTGACAGTACCTAACAATAACAACAAATAACAAAAACCACAATCAGTAAACCAGTAGTCATAGATAGAGGATCAGTATGAACTGGGCTCCACAGAGTTTTTCAAAGGCTGATTTTTTCATAAACAAATCACCAGGCCTTTCTTTTTTCCCTTAAGGGAACTCTGAGTAGACACAAACCCTCCAACCTTTCTGCTTAGTGCTTAGTAGCCAAGCAAATTAACAGTATGAATCATCCAGGAACTTCAAAATAAGTAAACAAGTTCTAATATCCAAGGCTACTTCTGACAACTGCGCAATTATTTCAAAACCATTAGCCAACTATTTTTATACGTTCTCATTTCTGTAAGACCATAAGGACACAAGGAACATTATATTGCTCATACCAAAGGGTGCTTGATAGAATCAGCAGGAATATTTTGTAGGAGTGAAGTCTTTTATTACTTCATCAGGATCCTTTCAAGTGAACCATTTCACTCTAGTCTACTGCAGTTCTAGAGTTCAAATATATTTCCCCACGTTCTGCAATATCACTTGTTGCTTATGTAATTCATTTGGAAATTGACCAGCAAAGGTTGAAGGACATATCTTCAATTAATGCCTTGAACTTACTTAACTTGACATGTTTATGTCTTATTTGCCCAATAACATCATGTGGTACGTCTCCACTGCTTCATGTGTTTCCAACTCTGTTAAACATTCTTAATTCTCTCCATTCTAAAAATACATCCACTTCAATCTTGTTCCTGTGTCCAAATTTTAGCCCATCTCTTTCTTCCCTTACAAGCAAAGAAGAACGCTTTTTATCCTCGTCACCTTTAAATTACTTCTAAAATCACTGCAATCAAACTTCAGCCTCAATATGTTTGTGTGTTTTTTTTTAAAAAAAAATCAGTAATGACTCCTTAATTATTCAAAATCCAATAGTATTATCTTTGTAAATTTGTTGTTTCCTGTACTTTAAAATTCTTTTCTCCCTTGGTTTTCAGGGAATGGCCCTTTTAATAACTGTGTTTCTAAGATTCAATCTTCTTTTTCCTTATTTTTGTCTTCTGTCCAAGTTTAAAAATTATTGCCCTTATGTTGACAACCTTCCAGTTCTAGGTCATCAGTCCTAACTTTTTCCTAAGTACAAGATCCATATTTTTAACTACTTAGAAAACCTTTTCATCCAGATATTCACACAGGCATCCAAAAAATCAACACACCCAAGCTACTGATGCCACTCCCAATACCACACCACCATCTGACTCCACCTCCCCCAAACAGCTGTACCTTTCTAGAGAAAAAGGTCTTTGTTTAAAATTATTATGGGGATAGGCTAAAGAACCTGGAAAGTTTTTAAATAGCCTTATTCAAATAAAATTATAACATATGTTCAATCAATAACTTTATAATTTGTCATAATTTAGCCAACAGTCAAAATAGCTTGATTATACATTATAGTGAGGAAAGTGAAATAAAGGCTAGGAACCCAGTATTCTGAGGCTTAATATAAGACTATTTATGTGCAATGTAATCTCAATAGACTTATTAAGTATAAAAATATCATTTACTGAATTTAGCAAATTTCCTCTAAGTCCTAGAAAGTCATTTTAAAACACTGCATTCTTCAGCACACAGGAGCAATGATTTTGAAAATTCCTACATACTTAGGAAGGCCAAGAGTGCATTACACTAAGTGAACTATCTCAGTTCCATAGGGACAAATACTGTGTAAGGCAATTATTGTAGAAATAGGTAACTAGTAAAACAAGTATGAGGATCCAGGAGGGGGAGGCTGAAGTCAGAGAGGTGAGGAAGGACAGGCAGAGTGGTAATTGTAGGATCGCACAAGGGAGGGTTGGGTAAAGGAAATAGGAAAGATTTGATGTGAAAAACAATTTGAACTTTGTAAGCAAATCAGTACAAAATAAAAATTTATATATATATAAAAATTACATATTCAAATATATATATAATTATATATTCTTTAAAAAGTATAATTTAAAACAAATATGTTTAAAGCATAAAAAAAATATAAAACACTGTGTTCTTTTTGGGGAGCTCTAGAGGCACAATCCATGTGGGGTTGGGCCGCTAACCCGATGGCTGAACCCCTCTGATGGTTCCAATCCACCAGCAGCTCCAAGGGAGAAAGATGGGCAGTCTTCCCTAGTGGAGTGTCAGGTAGGAGCCAGTTCTGACTTGACAGCAATGAGTCCTGAAAGCATTCTTTTTACACATAATTCATATACAATGAGGCCATTTATAGCACTTCTTAAAGTTCAGTGTTACAGCACTAGGTCTTTAGAGAAACATTTCTGTGTTATTAAGGATCCTCCTACCTACTTTCTTATGCAATTCTCCTAAATGATATCCTAACTTACTTTTTTCACTATATGTCCCACGGATCTTGATAGAGGTCAAATTGTTGAGAAGTTTCTGAAAGTCAAAAGGGGCGAGAGTCGGTCTCCAAGGGTAATCTGTTGCTTCATGGAGCCTGCAAAGAAGAAAAGGTCACATTAAGGTCTGTAAGGATAATTCTGGGTGTTGAGCAAACACTTCTTGCTCATTGAGGTCACCACCAATGCAGCCATATGAGAAAGGAGACTGGCGGTCTGAAAGTGCAGTTGGAAAAGGTAAAGATTAATAAAGAGAAGTTCCTCTTTTACAAGATCACCTTGATAATCTACAAGTTTTTCTTTAATATACAGCTCCAAGCCAGGTATGCTCAGATAAAGAAACCATAGTCACAAATCTGAAACCACTTATCAGACTGCACAAAGGAGGAATCTTACCTGAAGACGTACTTCACAGTTGTCTCACTGGGATAGGAGTTGCCCTGTGCAATCAAGGGCACAGATACTCTCAGGCCGGCCCCCTCGAGTACCACGTCCTCTGCAGAGAGGCGAGTGTCCCGCCTGTCCACTCGGAAGGAGAAGGAGAGGTTCTGGCCATAACTCAACATCTGCTGGCCCAAGAACTTTTCTGGAAGGCAGGCATAACAGTGTGCAAGAATGTGAGGAGAAAATTCTTACCCCCCCGCCTTTCCATTAGTTTATTTACAAAATTCTAATACAAATTCGAAAAAATTCTTTCAATATCCCTTATCCCGCCACCCATCAAATTATACAACCCAATGATTAATCCCCACTTCCCCCTATACATCCACATCCCTCTGCTTCCAGCCTCTCCCACCCCTCCTGGATCCTTATACTTATTCTATAATAACAGTCTTATGCAATATTTATCCTTGTGGAACTGAGTTAGTTCACTCAGCATAATGCTCTCCAGTCTGTGAGGAGAATTTTTAAAAGTATACATCCAGCCAGACTGCTTCCTAGCTTTACGTACCAGGAGCAATGAAGTACCGAGGAAAGTAACTATCTGAGATGACAGCAATGTCTTGTCTGTCAGAGGACCACTCAAGAGAGGCTTCAGAGCCATCCCTCTGTTCCGCATGCCACCCATCCTCATCTGGAAGCAGAGAATGAAGCCATAAGTCCTGTGATACTCTAAAGGGCATGTTGCTAGGAGAGGCTATTCCTTGGGGAGGAACATCATGCTTGGAAAGGTGGAAGGTTGGGGAAGAAGAGAAAGACCTTTAATGAAACAGACTGGCATAGTGACTGCAGTGATGAGCTTGAGTATGTCAGAGAGGAAGACGATGGTATAGGATAGGACAGGGTTCAGATCTGTTGTTCTTAGGGTCACTACAAGTCATCCTCAATTTAATGACACATAGCAATACCAACCAAAAAAGTTCCTTGGAGAGCACTATGTAAATTGATGCTGTTATGTGGTGTCAAGTGGAAACTGACTCACAGCTGACCCTCCACTGGGTTTTCAGGGGGTGTAAATGGCACGGGAGAAGATTAGACATTTTTATACCATGGAGCAGCTGATGGATTCAAACTGCCTGCCTTTGGGTTGACAGTGCAACTCCTTATCCCTGGATCATTAGAGTTCCCTTTGTATATAGAAGGCTACAAATAAATCTTTGTAGAAGTGGATCCTATAATAGTATTGTATATACTATATCTCTCAAGCAGTATTTTGCTTAATTTTATATAATATTTGTACTCACTGGGATAAATTTTAAAACTATAAATACACACACATGTATTTCCTTTAAGAGAAAAAAGTTAAATAAGAACATCATGTACTCTGAGTAATATTAAATGTCACCACCATCAAAACACCCTTGAAGAGTTACTAATTTTTGTTCTTTATCATTTCTAATATAACCTCACAGTTCAAAGTGGACAAGGTCTCACTCACCAATCTCAAATGCAGAGGTTATGGAGTAAACACTGTAGCCAGCGGCGTTTGTGCAGACAGAAGAATGCCCAAAGCAGAAGCAGGGTGTGCAACCCCTGGGGTTAGATGAGTCCAGATTGAAAAATCCAGGCTTGCATCTGAAAGAGATGGAAACACAGTCAGCTTTTTTGTGGTTTTGTGGTGTGTTTTGTGTTTTTGTTTGTTTTTTTTTTACTTGAAATACGATAGCAAAGAAAATACAATACAGCTAGAAAAAGAATAGCTACCTCTCACAGTTGAAGCCTTCCACATTGTCTTTGCAGACACATCTTCCTGTTTCGACATTACATTCATCAATGCTGCCAGAAGGATTACAAGAGCATGGCCTGTAGGATTAAAAAAATTAAATAAAACTGAGAGAAGAGGGGAGGGGAGGAACAGACACTCTGAAAGTCAACCTTCTGCTTTACATACTGATAGATTATTTTTTTTTAAAGGAATCCATAATGGAGCAAAATTAATCCTAAAGTTGTTTTTCTATTTGCATTTGATTTCAATCATGTATACTCATTAAAGTTAAATATAAAGAACTGTGATTACTCTCTGCATAAATCAAATCCCTTCTCCTTGAATCTTGTTGGCAATTATCAAGGAGGGGGAATTCACACTGCTGCTACAGACAAGCAACAAGTTTTATAATTATGTGCTGACTACACATGGAGATACTGTACCCTTCTACGACTACTAGAACTACTGTTGTTACTACTCAGTGCCATCAGGTCAGAACCGACTCCTAGCTGATCCTCCAGCTGGTTTTCAGAGGCTGCAGATCACAGGAGGAGATAGCCTATGTTTCTCCTGTGGAGCAGCTGGTAGACTTAACTGCCTGCCTTTGAGTTGGCAGCAAGCACAACTCCTTAGAATGAGGTCCCCCGAGCTCCCTCCCTGTGGCTTTAAAACAATCTTACCTGCATCCTGCCTCAGTGAGAGAATGGAACCCAGGCTGGCAACGGTCACACTTGTCGCCCATCACTCCTGGTTTACAGCTGCATCTTCCATAGCTATCACACTGCGTGCTGAGAGAACCTAAACGTAAAGAACTCACTGTTACAAGGAGCCCACAAATCAAACCAGATATGGAAGCAAAATGAATGTGCAAAAGGAGGGGGGGGGCAGTAAAACCAACTACAAAAACTTGATAATTAAAAAGATGTGACTAAACTCACACGTAATCTCCAAAGTGGTGGTGATGGTGTTAGTTGCTGCTGCATAGACTCCAACTCACAGTGACCCCATGAATAACGGATCTGAACTTGAGCCCTGCCCTACCCTATGCCATCCTCATCATCTGAGGCACACTCAAGCACACACAAGTGCTTTAAATTTTAAATTGCTATTGTTGTTGATGCTAACTGCCGTTAAGTCAAGCACGACTCATAATGACCCTCCTTTCTATAACTATCCTCCTTTCTCAAAGTTCATAGAGTTTCCAGAGGCATGTTGTTTAGGAAGTGGATGCCAGTACTGTTAAAAATCAAACTCTGTACCATGACATCGTACCTTCCTGATACACACACACCTTAAGATGAGTTAGTTGACTCACTGGCACTGAAAAACAGTTCTAAATCACTCTACAGCTAATGGGGACTATTAAGTCGGTTTTGACATCTAGTAACCCGAGGTAATAGAGTACAACTGCCCAATAAGGTTTTCTTTGTTGTATTCTTTACAGAAGCAGTTCACCAGGTCTTTCCCCCATGAAGCCTCTGGTGGGTTCAAACCAGTAACCTTCTGGTTAGCTGTTGCATGCTTAACTATCTCGTGCCACTGGGTCTTGTTACAATCACCCTGTCCCACTGATGCAGACAGGATCAGCAGGCTGTCTGCTGGATAAGTACAAGTTCCTTAAGGGTCATGTCTAGAATTTAAGATGAAGGCCAAACTAGTGTAAAGGGGGTGTAATGTACTAAAAGTAGAGAAGAGGACTAAAAGTGCTCTGAGTCTCTGAACACACACCAATGTACCAAAACCAAGCCAGCCCTCCAAGGAGATTAGACTAAACAACATCATTAATGATGAAGAACTCTCAAAGCAGCTAACCTTTTACAGCCAAAGTTCACATGGTCTCCATGATCCTGTAGCTAATTATTTACAAAACCATAATGTAGTCCAGCCCCACACTAGTATATACACCAGAAAAATAATCTAAAAAGTTCAACTTGGTTAAGTGAGTAAGTGAGGTTGTATTTATACATGAAAACATTTACACATTATATATTGAAACAATGCACGCACTCTTTACACATTAAAACAACACACACGCTTCCATACCTACCGGTGCAAATGCTTAAGGAACAAAATTCTATTTTGATGTGTCACAGGGAAGCTTTGTCTTTAAACCCATCAGGCTGAAGCAGACCCTGGCCATCACTTACCAACAGGACTACAATGGCACGGAGCGCAGGCTTCATTGCTGCCAAGGCGGAAGAAATTCTCACGGCACCTCTCACAGTTGGGACCATCTGTGTTATCCTGGCAGTTGGTACAGTGGCCGCCGTGGCCAGTGGAACGGTACAGTTCAGGGTCAAAGTAGCATTCCTGTGACCGACCATTGCAGTTGCAGGCTGTCAGCCAAAATAAAAAGAATTCTGTCAGATAGAATTCCTGGGGCTTTCAATACTTGCATCTTAAAGGATTCAAAGAAAAGCCAACCTTTAACTCCCCACAGCTCTGTGACAAGTAGATGAAAGATGATGGTAGAAAAGCGAAGACCACTAGATACATCCCCTTCATGCCAAAAGCTGTGTGCCAGTAACAGGTCAGCATTACCAGACCATCAAGTGAGGACGAAATGGCCAGACTTATTAACACGTTGCTGCACACTTTTAAATTGACGACCGTGCTTACAAACACATTTTTCCCCCAATGTATTATCGTCTTTTGTGGCAATGTGTTAAAGGACAAGCAAGCAAATACCAGAAACCCTGTAACAAAGAATTCCAGCTGTTCCTAAGGAGTCCTCCCAGTAGCTGTTCATATGCCAGTAAAAGCCAAGTCAAATTCCAATTTTCCTGCATCCTTTCCTCTATTCTAGTATCAATCCCAAGGAGAAGATGCTAACTTCCCTATTTTTGTTGTTGTATACTATCGAGAATGAACTGACTCATAGCTAACCCTACAGTGGGTTTTCAGGGGTGATTAATCACACGAGAGGAAACCACCCATCTTTCTCCCATCAAGCAGCCAGCTGGTGGACTTGAACCATGTACCTGTGAATTGGAAGAATTATTCTTTACTATTAAGTTACCCAAGCTCTATTATTTACATGACTGCAATTAACTTTTTAGGACCAAGGGATTCAAACAAAGCAGTTACCTGCAAAACTAGAATACAGTAGCTATAAACATGTCAATTAAAATTAATGCCTCTGCAAATGGAAACAACATTAAAGAGAAACCTTGATCCACCAGATACACCCATTGATTGGGAAGCCATAGTTCCAACTAACTCATCTGTGAGGCAATTTTATCCCATACAGATCACAACTAGGTATGAAGAACAATCATCTGTGGTCACAGAAATTCTTTATCATATTTATATTAAGATGATTTTTTTCAGAGTCATTGATGCTTATACAAAGTACAGACAATATCTTCAGTACTAACGGAATATAGTTCTATAGTTTTAAAAGTTTAATTTCAAAAGAGCAGGAAATTTTGCCTTGCTTTCAAATTTCATATAAATATATTTTCCCCCCATTTGTTGTTCCTCTCTTCCTTTATAAGATAGACTCAAAAACCTTCTTTAGGAACTTGAATCACCCCAAAACTAAACGAAAGCCTTGCTGTCAAGCATATTTCAACTCAAAGCCACCCTACAGAGCAGAGAATTAACCCACAAGGTTTCCAAGGCTGTGGACCTTTTACCAGAACAGGCTGTCACATTTTTATTCTATGAGCTGCTGGTAGGTTCGATTTGCTGACCTGTCAGTCAATAGTCCGTGTTTAACCCACTGTGCCAGCAGGGCTCCTTAGATACTTGAATCACTACTGGAAAAGAACGTCGTTTGGTGCTTTCCAGCAGACTAAGACTCACAGGGACGGCAGCTCCAAACCTCGCCCTACCCTGTGCCACCCTCACAACCTCCACCGTGATCAAGGCTATGGTACAGTCACTGTCATTGATGGTGTGTCAGTCCATCTTCCTATCTTTTCATAATTGTGTTCGCTTCCTTTCCCTTATTCATTAGTTACTTCTCTTCCATCTCCCTTTTCCACCTCAGTAAACTCTGCTCATCCCACCAAAAAGATAAGGCATTCTAAGACTGTGACGCAGAATAGTAACCCAGAATGAAAGAAGATGCAACCTCATCACCAGCTAATAAAAGAGGAAAGCTAAAAGACCCCGTAAACCTCCACCTCTATCCAGTCGAATACGATGCACAGCAACCTGATACCATGTTTCCTGCTCTGCAAATCTTGATGGGAGGAGACTGCCCATCTTTCAGTTAGCAGCATGACACTCCCTGGGGCTCAGGATAACAGAGAAGCCCTTAGTCAGTCATGACGACATAGTTCCCTGACTTCCTTCTGAGATGCCTTTCTCGACCTGGTTGGAATAAACTGAGCCTTTAAGGCCAATAAAACCCCACTGCCACTGAGTCACTTCTGACTCATAACAACCTTACGGGACACAATAGAATTGCCCTGTAGGTTTCCAAGGCTGCAATCATTAGGAAAGCATAACCATTTCTTTTTCCCATAGAGAGACTGGTGGGTTCAAACTATTCACTCTAAAAAAATTTAAAAAAACAAAACAAAACCCCAAAACACAACTATTCACTCTTTGATTGTAGCAAAGTGTTTAATTACTGTTCCACTAGGGCTTACCAAATCAAGTCATTAGTAAGGGACAAACAATGTGTTAGCGCTTTCATTTTACCCTCTCCGAGCACTAGGATCTACTCTTACTCCTTTGGCCACCCATTCCCGCATGGGTGGAGTGGGCAAATGCTCCCACTGCATTCCTTAATAAGACAAAGGAAAATATAACTTTGAGAAATACTGTTCTAAGAGCTAGTCATCATGCCTGACAACATGCTAATCAATAACTTTGGCTGCCTGAGCCAGTAAGTACTGGGATGAGGATATTATAAAGGAAAACATAGAAACATATCCTTGAAAGTAAGCCAGGCTGGCCCAGAACATGAAGCTAAGCAGGGCTCCGAACCTAGAAGACACTGCAACCAGTCTGGTATGTGTATTTGTGAAGGAACACAAATACCAGCAGTGTGTATGTATGGCCAGTTGCCTCTTGTGATGATTTTCCTGGCGTGCGTGGGGTTTACTGGTCTATTCTCTCACGTTATAGAGGAAGTAGAGTTTTCCTCTGAAGGAAGGCTAAAAGGAAGTGACCCTGTTTTTTCCACCTCTGGAAGTTCACAAGACAAGGTGAGAGACTGTCACCAAGGGACACTCACGCAGGCACTCGCTGGCGCTCTCTGCAGTTGCTCTCCTCCACGGCCGGTCGTTGAAGAAGGGAAGACACTTTTCACAGTCTACTCCATACGTATTATGCTTGCAATTGCACACCAGCTTGCCATATTCATTCTTCCCACATTCACTAGCATGACCGTTGCATTTACACCTGGGATGAGAAGAGATCATTCAAAAGAAGAAAAGTGCTACAACATTCCAAAGACAGACCAAAAACTAAAGGGTCACAGAACTAAAATTAAGCTAAGAATGTCTCTCAGTATTATCTTTAAAAAGCATAAACTCAGCAATTGAGAGAAATTAATGGCCATTTGAGCTTGAGGTATGAAATAAGAAACAAGCAAACACCACAACCTTCCAAGAGAGCTTTGCTTAACAGGGTACCTGGTATTAGCTAGATATGAAAATAAAATCAAACTCATTGCTGTCAAGTCAAAATCAACTCCCAGCTGATCCTGCAGTAGTTTTCAGTGCTGGTAAGCTGCCAAGGAAGAGACAATCCATCTTTCTTCCTCGGGACAGCTGGTGGATTTGAACCACTTGCCTTTGGGTTAGGTAGCTCTGGTGGCAGTGCAACCCCTTACTCATTATGCCACACCATTTCCTAATAATTTTAGAGGGTGACTATAGGCTCACTTTTGAAGTTCCATATGCGCTTTGTCAACAGGCAGCAGCATGCAGTGGTTAAAAACAAGCTGGACTCTTAAGTTAGGCTGTCTGGTTTTAAGATCCTGCCCTGTCACTTAGCCATAGAACACAACTGTCCTGGGCCTCATCTATACCATGGGGATGACAGTAATGCCAATTTTACAGGTGACTGAAAGGGTCAAAGTGTTATCTCATTTATAGACTCAGAAAAGTATGGGCACATAATGAGGCAATAAAAGTCAACTCTTATCTGCATAATGATTTTCAAATATTCTGATGTATAGGTGGCAAGACAGATTAGATACTTCACCATCATAAAAATGTGATACCGAGACTGCTATTCAAAGTAGATTGTGGCTCAGTGACATTTCACTCACATGCTTCCTTAAAGACAGTAACCAGAGATTCAACAGTCTTTCAGTAATAAACCTCAACATTCCTAAAAACTTAGTCAGTGGGGTTAAGAGAGCTCCAAACATCAATCTCCAGTTCTAAACTTTGTTCCATGCTCCTATCTCTGTCTGCTGCATAAACTTAGCTGTGTCCTCATCACCTAAAATTTTAAACATCTAAAATGAAACTCACTATCTCTCCCAAAACTAGCTCATCTTCTTATTTCTGCTAATAAGCCACTTTGCACCATTCTCCTGATCACTAAACCTCAAAATCTTCTTTGTACTCGAGTCCTGATGATTCCTTCTGAATGATAAAGTGCATCTATATGTTCCTATCCATTCTCTTGTTACTACCCTAATATATACTTGTCTAAGGCCTCGATTACACAGCATGATAAAAGGAATATAAACTTTCCTCAACGTGCATACTACTTTAATTCTGCCCAATATTCATCTTCCTAACACAGCAGTTTTGATAGTTTACTCAACTTTTAATGAACATCAATGAAACACTGCAAGCAAAAATAATTTTTCTGCTCTTTAGGCTTTGTTATCTAGCAAAGGAAAGATAAAGTAAAAATTCTTACTCTGCTGTGTAAGAGACTTCCCATAAGTCAAGTAGATTTATACTCTTCCATCTCTAAATTTTTTGTTCAGAGAGATGCCCATCCTACCTCCAGCAGAGATGTCTTCCCTTCTACCCAAGTTTGGCCCATTCTTCAAGACCCAGCCCAATTCCACCTGCTTCTCTTTCTCTGACGGTTCTGTATCACTTTTTGATACACAGTATCTTTTTAACTGCTGCTTGATCCTTTAACTTAACCCTAATACACTGTACTAGTCTTTATTTGTTCACATAGTCATATTATCACCTGTACTACGAATTTGTAAAATTTTCAAATTTTAAGAAACCCTGAGTGGTATGAATGCTAATATATTCAGCTGCAATACAAAGGCTGAATGCTGGGATCTACCCAAAGCTGTATGAAGAAAGAAGGCCTGCTCATCTACTTCTGAAAAAGTAGCTATTGAAAACCTATAGAGTACAGTTCTACTCTGATAGACATGTGGTTGACACCTGCTGGCATTCATGTACTTAGTTAGAATGCCACCAAAGTGCCTCCCTCCCCTGTAAGTCAGTCTTAAACTTCCTAAATAATGTCACAGTGCTGATCATGCCACTGCACTTAACCTAAATAAGAATTGCCAGGTATGTTAATTTTTTTTTTTAAGAGGGAAGGTATGTTAATTTGACACAGATGTGAATCGAACTACTCAAGTGCAAGATGATGAGCAGTCTGACAAGAAAAAGTTCAAGTTGTCACCTCTTGCAAATATGTAGTATCACATATTAAGAATTGCCATTCCTGCACCAGACATCTAACAACGTTAATATGGTTATAAATAAGTTGTCACTTATAAAGCAATTCTAATCAATTGTTTTCAATGCTTATTTAATTGTTCACTCACCTGCCACCCACAGCAAAATCAGAGATTGCATAGTAATAGGACTTGAGAACTTTTGGATCATTGAACACTTCATCTCCGAAAGTGTTGAGGCGATTGAGCGTGACTCTGATGTCAGTCGCAGTTACCCATTCCTGGCAGAGAAACAGCAAATCACAAACATAAACCAGAGGAAGACAGAAAAGGAAGCCAGGACTTAAGCGTGGCAAAACCTTCTCAATAGTTAAATGTATCACTGAACTGATGTCCACTGTGAGGATTAACCCTATTATAGCAACTCCATGACTTTCATAATTTCCTAGTATGTCCCTCCTTTGAGACTCTCTTTTTTGATCTAGGCTATGCTACTTTACCACAGAGAGCCTTGAGAAGCAGAATAGAGGAGAGCTTGAAGTGATATCCAAAAACCCTTTCTTCTCTGTTCACCTGTATCTACATCCCAAATCCAGTCAGAGACAGCAGTCTGGAGCTCAGGCAGCACCATACTTGCATTAGATTTGCTGGTCATCACCTCCCTTTCTTGTTTACAGCGTCACTCAGTCTTTTCCACTGCTGAAAGATCTGGGGGTGATATACAAGTGCAAAGCAATGAATCCTGCTGGCCTGAACCATGCAGTCAGTAAGGGTCCGTGCTGGTCTTGACCTTCCTCCCACAAAGTTCTCAATGAGGCCTTTCCTGGGCAGCTCCTCCTCTACATTCTACTTTCTGCTCATCATTCATTCATGTAGGGGTTTGTGAGTAGCACAAATGGTTGAGTGTTTTGAGTGTTTGTCTACTAACCAAAGGGTTAGCAGCTCAAACTCATCCACAACCTTGAAAATCCCATGGAGCAGCTCAACTTGACAAATCCGGGTCAGAATCTACTCAATGGCAAATGGTCATCAGTCCAGTTACACATGTTTATATCCCCCCCCCATTTATTCTGTTTTAATCATCTGCCTCCATATTTCTACCACCAGAATATAATATTCACAAGGGCAGACATCTGCGTGTTTTATTCACTGCAGTATCTCTAATGGATAGAGTGTCTGGCTGCCAATCCCAAGGCAGGCAGTTTGACTCCACCAGCAGCTCCACACGGGAAAGACGGACAATCTCCTATGTTACACTTTACAGCTGCTGAGAACCCACTGGATGGTTACCTATGAGTCAGTTCCAACTTAATGGTAGGGAGTGAGTGAGCACCACTACTGTTTCACACAGCATTTGCTTAAACAGTGTTTGCTGAGGCAATGACTTTGAAGAAAAACACAGCTGTTTATGTACACAGCAGACCCTGAATAATGACCCCCCAGTGAGTCATGCCTGCCAAGTGGCCCACCTGTGTTGTCCCTTTGCTGGCGGACGTGAGGCTTGGTCATGTGACTTATGCCAAGGAGATGTTGTGGCACATGGGACAAGCAGTCTGGTACCCATCTGTGCATTGGGACTTACTCACTGGGAACACTCCCCACCACCAAAAGCCTGGCCTCTCTTCCTGGAAGGTGAACAAAGGCCAGCTGTCCCAGCTGACCTGACAGTGAAATGTCTCCCAGCTCATATAGAATACTGAATAATAACAAACATACCTGCTTTAAGCCATTACATTTGTGGGTACTGTGTTACATGGCAATAGACAGAACTATCCAGAGATCTCACTTCCACTTAAACCTTCTTCTATAACCAACGCATCACACTCACCTATAGAGACCTAATAAGCAAGGGCGGAGGCACTGGCTTCTTTGTTTTCAAAAGGTCCCATGGGAGACTGGGAAGCACAGCCCTGATTAAGAAGCACTGCCTAAAACCATGCCAAACACCTGGGCTATAGAACAACACAGCTTCTCCTTTCCAACATGTAGAGCACTCATAAAAGCTAATCTCCATAAAGCCTTCAAGTATAATTAGAAAGGAGAAGCGATGATGATTTCACCGTATCCAGACTTGGAACTCCAATAACAACTCCCACTCACAGCCACAATGTTAGGAATCTTTCCTCGTCTGTAATGTAAATAGCTAAACCGTATCTCTGTGTTTAATGCTCATTATATCTTCTTCTTTCGTCTTTATCACAGCTTCCCCTGAATAAAAGCTTCTCAGGGCTGAATCAAAGCCAGGGTTTTTTTTTTGACACTTTAAAAGGGGCAAAATGGCTAAACATTTGACTGATAACCAAAAGGTGAGTTATTTGAACCCACCACCTCTTCCATGGGAGACAGATTTCCAGTCATGAAACACTGTGGGATAGCTCAAGGGTCGCTATGAGTCAGAAGAGATTTGTTGGTGGGAAGTAAAAAAAAGGAGTACTCTTTGGAGCTAGACATTCTAAGGTTTCAAATTCCAGTCTACAACTTAAAACTGTGAGTCAGGAAAAGATTATTTTATTCTCTCAGGGCCTTTATTTTTTCATCTGCAAAATGGGATAAGAGAAGTATCTACTTTACAGAGGTATTGTGAAGAACAGCACTTGTCACATTATAACCACTGCCACCAATTCCAACTCTTACTTTAATGTAGAGTGAATTGTCCCACTGGGTTTCCAACACTGTACTGTTTAAACAAGCTGACTGACACATCTTTTTCTGTATGTTAACCATTTAGTTAGCAACTGAGTACCACCAAGGTTCCTCAATTAGCACATTACAGTAAATGCTGTAATAAATGATAATAATTATTTTAGATCATTGCAGGCTAAGTTAACACTCACGTATGGTGAAAACCAAGAGAGGCTTTCTCTAGTTATCTCTGAAAGACTGTGACTTCTGGAGGGAGGATGAGGGAACAAAGTTGCCTGAGACATACGTCTCAGAGTCAGAACTTTGAGATAAAAAGACATGCAATGAGTGACTTAGCGTAAGGATACCAATCCCAAATCTGGCAGATACCCACAAGCATTTCTACCACACTTGAGCCTTGAGAGTTTCTGGTAATAATGCCAGATATAAGAATTCCTCCAGCACTTTTCAAGGCAAGCTGACAAAACACATAGCAACTGCGCTAGAAAGCCAATTGCAATTATATATCCTCTCTCTTTCCCAGTGTGACTACATGGTTGTCTCTCCAGGAAAACCAAACATAGCCATTTACAATGGGAAGAAACAAGAATGCAGAATGTCTGCTTGTTGATCAATGTAAAGGATACCATGCATCACCTCTCCCCTACTGTTCAGTTTTCTTCTACCAAAATCAGCTATTCTTTCTATCATTTGTTTTGAACACACTCTGATTACAAGAAACATTCTGAAAGGTCTTTTCAAAGATACACACCGTCATCTGATTTTAAACTTACAGTTTCACCTCTACCTCCCAGCAAATAAATGGAAGGGGACTGGTCGCACTAATAAATACATCCTCATCTTTTGCCACTCACCAAAACATACCACCAAATTAGAAAAAGAATCCTTGAAAAATAATAAATTACATCAAGAAGGCACACACACAAAATGCAGAAAGTCCTATTTAGAAATCACAACATATTTTCCAGCATTGGCAAAACCATCTCTAATCTTTTTTCTTGACTCAGTCAATACTGGCTCTCCCACCTAGACACTAACTTAGCCAACAGTAGTGCCTTCATTTTTACTCAAATATGCTGAATGATACGTTAACATAAGAGGCTCATTAGTCTCATCATAATGAAGTAGCCAAACATAAGAAAAAGTCACAGGAATCTAATCAGTACAGAAAGATTCTATGCCATGGTGCATACAAAAGGAATATGCATTCCCAAGAGCTCAAACATAATGACCTTCTTGAAGATGATGCATAATGAGGCAACACTGGGTTGTATATACACAAGATTCCCATGAATCAGAACTGAGTGGATAAAACAAAAATGATGCCCGCTGATATGCCATATGACCTTGGGCTACCATTTAGACCCACTAAGCCTCAGTTCCTTCATCTTTAATATTACAACAACAACAACAGTATCTACTCTGTGAATGGAAGAAAATTTAAAGTACGGGTAGAGTAGAGGGACAGTGCAGGAGGGGAAGGCCCTCTATGAGGTGGAATGATTCTGTGACTGGGGTAATCGGGATGGGTGTGTCAGAGGCAATGAGATTGGCACAGGATAGAGCACGGTTTAGGGCTGTTGTATATAGGGTCGCTATGAATTGCAAACAACTAGATGGCTCATAACAACAATAACAATGTAAGTCAAGCAGCTGGTATAGTACCTGGAAAGTAATAAATGATGAGTTATTTCAGCTACTATGACAACAATTATATAATAATAAAAGGTTAAATTTTTATTTTTAAATAAACCAAAAGGAATATGCATTCAGAAACCATGAGAACAAAGACTATTTCTACTGCTAAACAAGGAAAAGATATATTTAAGCACAGAGAACTATAGGTATCTAAAGTTAGAGTCTATCTATACACTTGTCTTTTTATATGATTTAGCAATTTTCATACTGATTAGCAACAGTGCCAGATAAACCAAATTAAAATTTTCTCTCACAAAGAAAATTACATTCTTTTAAAAACCTTGCTTCAATTGTTTTCTCTTGCTAATACTTAAAAAAAACAAAAAACCAGCCAAAACTCCCTCAAAACTTATGTTGTCAAATAAGAAGATGCAGGGAAATCGGGTAGTGGTTGTTATCAGGTGCCGTCAAGTAGGACTCAAGACATGAACCCTATCTTGAGCCCTCCCCATCATCCCAGACTTAAGCCTACTGCTGCAGTCACTGTATCAATCCATCTTGTTAGGGATCTTCCTCTCTTTCACTAACCCTCCACCTTTCTAAGCGCGATGTCTCTTTCTAAGAAACAGTCTCTCGTAGCAATACGCCCAAAGTATGAGAAACAAAGTTTTGTTATCTTTGCTTCCAAGGAGCACTCTAGTAGTTCTGGCAGTCTGTGCGCTATTCAGTTTTCTTCTCCAACACCACAACTTGAAGGTATCAATCTGTCTTCTGTCATCCTTATTTATTACTGTCTAGCTCTCAGATACATAGCAAGTGATTGAAAATACTATGGCCTGAATGGGGCTCACTTTAGAGTTTTCAGACTAGTATCACTGCTTTTCTGCATTTTGGAGAAATCTCTGACAGCAGACTTGCCCAATGCAATACATCTCCTGATCTCCTAACTGCTGGTACCAAGGGTGCTGACTGTGGAGCCAAGCAAGACAAAATCATTGACAACTTCAATCCTTGCCATTCATCATGACATTGCCTATAGTGGCAAGGACCTCTGTTTTATTGATGTTGAGATATAATTCATATTAAAGGCTATAGTCCTTAATTTTCTGTAGCAAGCATTTCAGGTCCTCCTCATTTTTAGCAAGCAAGGTTGTATCATATGCGTAACACTGGTTGTTGATGAGCCTTCCTCTGATCCTGATGCCACATTCCTCTTGACAGAGTACAGATTAGTTCATATGGTCTCTTCAAAGGGTCAGAAGAAAAAATGTTTCTACCTCAAGTAGAGAGAGACTACATTTAAAATTGCTCAATCTTTAAAAAAAATTGTTTAGTTTAAATACTTGTATCTTAAAGTACCCAAGTACATAAGAACAAACAGCAATTGGACAGTAGGAACAAAACTACTTTCCTTCACTCATTATCAGTATACAGGCCAGTAGAACAAAATCCAGCTGTCTTCCCCCAAAAGTCCCTGGGTTGTATAAACCATTAGCACACGCAGATGCTGACTGATATGTTACAGGCTCAAGTACACAAAGAGGCATCTCAGAAGAAAGATGTGGCCTTGAAGAATTTTCTTCATCTCATTGCTATAAAGGGAGGTCTCGTGGCCTAGTGCGTAAGGAGTTGTGCTGCCAACCTAAAGGCAGGCAGTTTTAATCCTCCAGAGGCTCCTCAGGAAAAAGATGGGCAATATCCTCCCATATGATCTACTGCCTCTGAAAACCCATTGGAGGGTAAGTTGTCAATTGGTACATAACACCACCACCACAGCATAAAAATGACTCAGAGCTGATGCACTGATGGGTTTCTAAGGCAGTAAACCACAACCAGGGTGTTCTTTGGAGGCAAGGATGGTGGAACTTTGCCTCACATATTTGGGGCATATTGTTAGAAAGGGTCAGCCCTGGGAAAGGACCATTAAGCTTGGAAAGGTGGAAGATCAGTGAAAGATAGGAAGACCCTCAATGAGATGGATTGACACAGAGACTGTAACAATGGTCTCAATTATATCATGAAGATGGCACAGGATAAGGCAAGGTTAGGATCCAATATTCATAGAGTTGCTATAAGTCTTGTTGACTCAATGGTAACTAAAAACAACAACAAATCCTTTGAGAGGAGATATACCTTTCTCCAGTGGAGATGCGAGTGGATTCAAGCCAGTAGAGAGACATGGCCTTTGGGTTAGTAGGGCAACTCCTTACATATGCCATGAGCTTCCTTCTGAAAAACTAGCCACTGAAAATCTTATGGTATACATGTAGGGTCACTGAGTATTGAAATAAAATGAACAACTGACTTGGTTTGGGGTTCTTTTGCTCTTTGTTGAAACAGGAGTTTCTACTTCTGCCTCTTACTTCATCAGCAGGACCACAAGCCCAACCAAAAAGAATCTTACTATGTCCAGTGTGTGGCAGGATTACCCGGCTCCAAAGCCAACCTCAAAAGACCTACCTGCAAGGGAGCTCTGGTGGCCTAGTGGCAAGAAGCTGTACTGCAATCCCAGAGGAACACGGTTTGAATCCACCAGACACTCTGCCGGAGAAGGAGGCGCAATATCCTCCTGTACCAGTCAGATCTGATTTGACGGTACATGCACACAAAATTTAAAAAAAAAAAAAAAAAAGACCTACCTGCAACACAGGGCTATTGTCAAAGTTGTATGCGCTGGGCCTTCCCTCCAGGGTGGAAAAGGCCACGTTGCCACCAGACAGAGGAGAAATATCACTGAACTCATCCGTGCACAAGGCCTGCTGCTCATCTCCTCCTGTCCTGATGAAGCCTCGTTTTGCCTTTGCGTAGGTGTTCTGGCAGGAGCCACTGTAGTACTGGTAAGGGATCCAGGGCCCATCTTCCCGTGTGCGCTTGTAAATGGCAAAGCTCTCCGGGCGGCTGGTGTAGAACTTGAGGCGCACGTAGGTGATATCAAAAGCTTTCCCTGTGGGACAAGCATATCACAGTTCATCAGTCATATGTAGGAAGCAAAAGAAGGTCCCTCTAACCTCCATCTGGTTTGTAACCAGACACAGGATGCAAATCACTCTATACATGAGACCACAGAGGGTCCAGCACACAGCCCGTGACTGACAGCGACAATTTTCCTATGAGAAAGGCAAAGATAGTGAGATTCACAAACTGAATCATAAAAGTCCAGTTATGAAATAAGCTGTTCAAGTTTTGTTTATAGTGAAATACAACAGCACAGCATTGTACTGCTTAAGGAAAAACAACATTTAATAGAAAAATTTCTTTTTTAATGATGGTGCTGCAACAAGACCTTAATTGAAAGATTTAAAAGAAAAGATTTGCAGACTTCCCACAAGAGTCTCCTGGGTACTCTCAAGACCTGTAAGAACTCACTTTTTATGTGCTGTAATTTTAACTCCTTGATGAGTCTCTGAACTATTCTTCTACTTATCAATCAGCGAAAGAAAGACATTTGAGAGACAATGACAGTAACTGGGAGACAGACAAAGGAGTAAAGCAGGAAAAGAGACTGAAAAAAACTAAAACCTCAACCTACTTTAATAGCTGAAGAAAAAATAGGGGGTAAAAAAGGAAAAGAAAAAAATGAGGCTTAAGGAGGAATTGTCTGAATGTATACAAAAAGGGGTGAGTATCTGAGAAGTGGGCACTGAGCAAGGCAGTGTGAGGAAAGGAAGGAGCCAATGGGCTGGGATATCCCTGGATAAATGAAGGCAGGGTGGGGGTGGGGAGAGGAAATCATCACGTCATAGGGTCATGCAGTTCCCTGCAAGATATGATGCTGGGTTTGGGATATCCTGGTCAGGGTATCTTCAGGTGGGTAAACAAGATCACGTACAACTCATTTTCATCTCCATTCACAGACTAGGTCTATCTTGGAAGGGATCTATTCCTGGCTACATCTACACTGCCATGGGATCAATTTGATCTACAAGCCACTTGAGGGTGTAAATCTATACTCAGTCCTATATTATATATACTGGGGAGCATGGATGTGTTAGATATAGGGGTCCTTGCATTCCAGGAGCGTATAGACTTTTCCAAAAAAGATTAACTCCAAAGGAACTCCAAAACACACATCCCCTATGAAACTCACTAATCAGGAACCCACCACACCGCATGTCCTAATTTCTTTGCCTGGGAGCTGCCTGTGACTCTATGCCCTCTCCTGCACCTCTCAATGCAGCACAGGGATCTGCCTCTGTGCATGGCAGGTGTGCTGCTGTCTAGCTCATGGAATTAGGTAAATATGTGAGATCAACTGAGGGGAAAGGAAAGTTCATCTAAACTGTGTGTCCAGGCTACATTCTCCCCATCAGCTGTATCTGCAATAAAGCTGGTAGTAGGCGTCATATGGTGGCATAGACCATAAGAAGCTGCACTGCTGATCCAAAGGCTGTCCTTTCCTGGAAGTTCAAAGCCACCAGTGACTCTGCAGGAGAAAGATGGGCAATCTCTTTTCATTTGATTTACAGTCTTGGAAACCCAATGGAGGATCAGCTATGAGTCTGTTCATTTCAATGGCAATGAATGAGGAATGATACGTGATTCCCTTATTTCTCAATTGTTTCAGATTTTAGAAGAGAAGCAGGTTGAGGGGCCTGTGCTCTATACACATAACAGAGTCCCTGAGTGGTACAAACATTTAACGTGCCTGGTTGCCCTATGGAAGGTTAGAGGTTTCATCAATTCAAAGGCATCTTGGAGGAAAGTCTTGCTGATCTTTTGCGGGGGATCTAAGCCCACTCTGAAGTACAGTTCTTCTCTAATGCATACGGCATCACCACGAGTCAGAATTGACTCAACGGCACCTGGTTTGGGTTTTTGCTTAGGAGTTCCTATGTAGTATGCTTATTTGTTTAAATTGACAACACACATTTCTACATATATGATCTTAAACATAATGCCATGTGATATAATGGAAAGACGAAAGGGCTATGCATTGTGAGACCTGAGTTCAGGTCCTGGACGCTTCACTTACTCCTTGTTATTGCTATGTGCTACCAAGTTGGCATTAACTCACAGCTGATTCTCTGGTGGGTTTTTAGAGACTGTAAATCACAAGGGAGGAGACAGTCCATCTTTCTCTCATGGAGCAGCAGTGGATTTGAGCCACATACCTTTGAGGTGGCAGGGCAATTCCTTACCCACTAGGCCACCAGAGTTCTACTCTGGCATCTCCTCTGTAAAAACCAAACCAAATGCACTGCCATCAAATTGCTTCTTATGCACAATGGTCCTCCATCTGGTTTCTAAGGCTGTAAATCTTAACTGGAAAAGACTGCTCATCTTTCTCTCTCAGAATGTTTCATCTGAAATGCCTGAGATGCTCGGTCTTTAGGTGAGCAGTACAATACTCTACACCACTATTAGATCTCTTCATCCTCGCCTCACTAACTCAAGGAGTTCGTCAGAGATTAGGTACAAAGTTGATACCTGATACACTGTAAACTATACAAATATGGCACCATCACAACAGCATTTATAAAGAAAATACTTGAGCTAAGATTCTGCAAATTTCAACTCAGAAGCTTATTGCTATGGAGTTGGAATCAACTCATAGCTGACCTTTCATTGGGTTTCAAGGACAGAAAGGAGCATGAAAGGCAACTGCCCACCCTTCTCCCACAGAGCCACTGGTGGTTTTAAACCACCCAAGTAGTGTGGGCTTTGGGTTAGCTGGGTAACTGTCTATGGGTTACTCCACCAGAGTGTCCTCAAACCCTACAGATGTTAACTGATAATCTCTGATGATACCACCAACTACCTGGCACAGTCTCTAAAGTATAGTATATACATCTGCATCCTCTGTCTACTATGCCAATGATACTTTGTTTGGACCCAGATCATAGAAATATGGTTTATACACACCTTCTGGGTTTTATGGTTCTTCTTTTCATTTGTTTGTTTATTTTCTTAAATGTATGTTTAATCTGTATTTCTTTGCTATGTCAAGAATTTCAAGACATTGCCTTCAAAGAAGGGCAAGGTTATACATTACAGTATCTACAGCATTCCAAAGACTCATTATCTAAAACATTATAAAATAGCAAAACAATTAAGTATTATTCAGGAGTAGGTTTACTCACTAATCTGTGGATTACAGATTACCCTTAATTTTCCCCTCTCTCTTTTTCTATTATGACATCACCTTGTTCTGTAGCAAACCAACTTGGGCATATGAAAGAAGGTAAAACGGAATTCAGGTATTCTGTATTCCAGACCAAGTCTGCACCACCAAACCACACTCTAAAAGAAGCAAGCATAACTGGCTGCACTTTCTGCCAAAGATGCAGAGACAGATGGTAGAAAGCATTAAGCTCAAAGTCACCTAGCTTGCTAATTCTGGCTTCAGCCCCTCACTGGCTCTGGGCCTCATTTTCAGAGCCATTCTTGTCTTTCTTTCTTTTTTTCAGAGCCGATATTTTCAATTCAACTTCTAGTCACAAATAGAAAGAGAAAAAGGAGGACTTTGGCAATTTCCAAAGGAGGCTCACACACTTCCTGAACGAAAAGGTGGCCGTGTGGACTGCCCTCAGAGATGAAGTTAATACAGTAGTGGACACAGACAAGTGCAACTCACACAATAAGATCTATGACAGAGGAAGTACCCAGGTCATTTAATCCAGATTTATGACTTCAAGGAAAGATACCTAGAGGAAGTGATATCTAAATCTAAGACATGAAGAATTAGCTAAGCAAACAGGGATGGGTGGTTCAACACTTAGAACAGCATATATGCTGAATAAAGAAAGTGAAGAAGATACAAGACGAATCCAAGTTGTACAGTGTAGCTAGACCTGGAGGAGTGGCTGGCTAGAGATGAGGTAAAGATTAGATCCTGCCAAGCCCATGTTATAAGGAAACTTAAAGGCAATGGCAAGCACCGAAAAATTTACACAGGAAATATGATTTATGCCTGAGTTTATGCAGGAAATATGATCAGATTTTTAGAAAGATCACTGTGGCCACAGTGTAGAGATTCGGCTGAAAGGATAGGAAACAGATCAGAAGATATGTCAGTATTTTAGGAGTGAGGGCAGTGGCCTACTCAAGCTGAAATGCAGGGAAATGAGTGGACTGAATGAGATTTAGGAGACAGACATTAATACAACTTGGCACTAATGTGGGGTGGGTGAGGGTAGTAGCCATTTGCAAAGGTCTGTTGGTATTCTGTCTCATTGTCAATGCGTCTTTTTCTTCTTCCATCAGGTGGACAATTAATAATATTACTCTGATGTCTAGTTAAAGCATGTGAATGGAGAGAAATACCATTTAGTGAACCAGAGGCTGCGTATGGGGAGGGATGAGAAGACGAGCTCAATGTGTGTGTCACACAAGTGATAGTCTAGTAGTGAGTTGGACAGGAGTATCTGAAGGTCTGAGATGTCTAAGGAAAAACTATAGATTAGGGATTCGTCAGAACAAAACAGTACATGAACATTGTTGTTGTGTACCACTGAGTCGGAACCAACCCATAGCTGATCCTCTGGCAGGTTTTCAGAGGTAGTTAATCACATGGGAGGAGACTGCTCATCCCTCTCCCACAGAGCAGCTGGTAAGATTAGAACCACGTGCCTTTGGGAATGCAGCGGTAAGCAGTATACTGAAAATCAGGGTACGGTTGAGACCAACTACGCAACTGGGTTGAGTAAGAAGAAAAAGAGTGGCTTCTGAGACCACAGTGAGGCACATGTACATTCAAAGTATAGACAGAAGATGAGACAACAAAGATGACTTAGAAGAAGAAGCCAGGCAAAAAGAGCATATGAAGGGTGCAAATATCATGGAAATTAAGAAAAGAGGGCTTTAAGGAGGAAATTATCAATGATTAAAAATTTGTCCGCAGATTAAATTAAGATCACAATGGTGGAGTTTACTTTTGGCTGGAAACTTCAAGTCTCTGTAAACTTTCATTAAAACTGATTTAAAAAAAACCAACAGAATCTCACA